GAGAGAGAGAGAGAGGGGAGGAAACTTGAGCAGCGGTGTTTCTGACTCAGTCTTCAGTGAGAGAGCAACGAGAGAGGATCATGCAGGGTATAAGCTCTCTTTCCCATCATCTTCATCATCATCACCATCATCTTCATCATCATCAGTCCAGCCTGCCCCACCTGAGGGATCATGTCAGTGAACAGCACCGCGGAGACAACAGCAGCAGCAGCACCGGGGAGGGAGTACACCTGTGTGCGCTTCTACGTGTCCACCGTCTCCTTCTCGGTTCTCCTCTTCTTCAACCTCATCATCAACTGGACCATCGTGCGGGAGGAGCGGCTCCGGACTCGAGCGCGCTTCGTGCTGGTCTTCCAGCTGCTGGTGTCGGCTCTGCTCCACCTGGGCATGAGCAGCGTCTTCTACTATCAGGTGCACCTTGACGCGCAGCCGGGACGCACCGCCTGTCTGCTCATGGTGACCATCCTGATCTGCAGCGCCTCCTGCATCCTCCTGACGCTCACGGTGATGGCTCTGGACCGCTACTGCGCCGTGTGCCACCCGATGCGCTACACCGCCACCTGCATCGCGGGGCACTGGCCCTGGCTGCTGGGTGCGCTCACCTGGCTGGTGGCGCTGGTCATCCCCCTCAGCCTGCTCCTCCAGCCGAGCCAAGAGGACAACTACAGCGGGAAGTGTGGCCCTCAGCAGCTGAGGAGAGGCGTGCTGCAGAAGGTGCTGTTCATCGGGTTGTGCACGATGTTGATTCTGTACAGCTATGTGTGCATACTGGTGGAGGGGCGGAGGTTAGGGGTGCTCAATCGGCGCAACCGTGCCGGGTGTCGGACCATCGCCCTGCACGGCACCCAGCTGGCCGTTTACATCCTCCCCAGCTTCGTGAGCTTCGTGCTGACGACGCTGCACAAGCACGAGCTCATCCTGACGCGGACCAGAGAACTGTCCGCAGTGGTCACCTTCGCCTTCTTCAGCCTGGCGCAGTGCGTCGCGCCAATTGTTTACGGTTTGCGCAAAGAGGAACTCCTGGAGAACGTGAGCCACAGGTTCCCTTGCTGTTCCCGGTACTTGAAGAGTGTCCTGGGCTGGACGGTGCGAGGCAGCTGGGTACCCCCCCACCACAGAACACGGTGCGACTCCTACAGGTTTGCTTTTTCTCATATAAAAGTTCTAATAAGTTACTAATACAAAGATTAACTTTGGGGTAACCTTCCCACCCACCTCTCCTCTCTCCCCCACTTTTTCCCACTCATCCCAACCGGTCGAGGCAGATGGCTGAGCCTGATCTAGAGATCTGTTTTTGCAAAGAGGGGTTTTTCCCTCCAGAGTCACCAAAATACACATTCTTAGTGGAATCTCTCATTTTGTAGGTTCTCCTCCTTAATATCTTAAGCGCCTTGAGATCATGCATGTTGTGATTTTTCTCCCCTTACAATAAAATGTTATCAAAATATTCAGGATAGAAATCAGTGTATTTAAAATCACCTAAAATCAATCCTAAAACAAACCGGCAGCCAGTGCCAGGATGCTTAGACTTTTTGGATTGTGTTAAAAGCCAAGCAGCAGCATTCTGGACTAACTGTAGATGAAGGATTGATTTCTGAGTAAGACTGTGAAGGGAGTTTTGAGAGGAAATAAGGGCGTTGATGATTTTTCTCCAGGTGTAAATGTGAAATAAAAGATTTCACCTTGGCTGTGTTTCTAAAAGGATAAAAACACAATTGCACAACCTTTCTTAATGTGAGGTTCCAAACTCAGGTTATATATATATATATATTAAAAAATCATATGTGAGAGCACTTCTACATCTGTTTCTTTAACTCACACCAGTAAGTAGATTATTTATCAAGGATGTCATAAACAGCATATTGTTTGGGCAGAGATTACAATGAACAGAGTATGCAAAACTTTGCAGAGATACTGACTTGAGGCGTTAAAGTAGAAAACTGTCCCTTCTTCAAAGTGAAGGACGAGTAAGAACAAGACAAGTTCCCTCATTTGACAAAAACGTGTAGAACTAGTTCATTTGCATAAAGCTCAATATTACTGTTACTACTTCTACTACCTAACTAAATGAGTAATTGACATCATGCTACCATTGTCTTTTTTAGAATTAAACCACAAACAGAAAATACTTCCCCTTTCAGTCTTTTGCATCTTACCACACCACAAAAAGAGCACACGACTTCATTCTTGAACCTATTGTCTAATTTCATGTCCGTCCCCCCCAGGGAGCGAACACTCACCGCCCTGACGATCATCTCCCAAGAGGTTCCACAAGTCCTAGTGGAGGAGGAGGAGGAAATGAGGCCAATGTCAGTCCGGAGTTCCTCACATGACTCACACTCATGTCAGGGTGATGCAGACAATGCCTGATGGGGGGGTGCAAAGAATGTCGCTGTTGGGATCCTGAGCGGCACAGGGACATTTGGAGAAGTAGCCGGTTTTCTCAGGGCCTCAAGGAATCTCCTCGGACTTCATGAGGAGAAGATTAAGACCAGGATGTACAGCAACGTTATGTTTGGACGAATCACAAGGACACATGGACTAACAGCGGAGCAGAGTGTGGTTCAACTAGTTACTTCTCTTACTGTGAATTTGCCTGGCTGGTCCAGGGATTTAAACCTAAAAGTCTTCAGCTCACAAGTCAACCTCTCAGACCTCTTGGCTACAAACAGTCTGGCATCATTTGACTGCGATGGAGCAAAATGTTGTTTCCATGTGTTCTTTACCATGTGCATATAAAAAAAAAAAGATCTCTAACTCTAATGGCCTTGATCCACTTCAATATTTCCATTCCCCACATGCTGCAAAGTCTGCCATCTTGGTCATTTTGTGGCTGAGTTGCAGTCTGTCACGCACACTTTCAGTTAGACGGGGGAATTCACAACATTTTAACCACACGGCTCCTGATGCACTGGCTCAGCAACATCCACATCGCGTGGCAGCGACACTTAACAAGTGTGTAAAAGTGCAGGAGCGAGTTCCTGTTTTTAGTTCTACAGCTACACAGATACCACAGCAGCTATGTGGTGGCGGAGCACTTGCTGGGATTCCTGTAAAGAGCGTTGAGTTGGAAGAGTCCGGGGCTGCAGAAGTGAAAACAAACTGCAGATAATAATAAATACAGAAGAAACAGGAAGTAAGTCTGGCAGGAAGAAGTGTGGGGGAGAAGCGGGAGGGTGACAAGGACTTTTTTTTGGGTTCGATATTTAATACACTTTTTAAAGGTTGTAAATAAGAGCTTAAAAGTCAGTCAAGTTTTTTTCTGTCAAAGCCACATTCACTGATATGACAAAATCAGTAACAAGTACCAGGACATTACTATATCTCAGTTCAGGCAAAGGCCAAAGAAAAGATATGTTTATTAAGTATAAATTAGAATCCATACAGATGTCAGGTTAATGGCCATTTTATTTATTAATCCCAATAGAAGTATGTCGTTATGTCACAAAGCTCAAAGCAGATCTGCACAAACATCACCACCCCTCTCATCAATCATCTGGTGCATGTGTTCATATCAAACAGCAGCTTTGTCACAATACAAACACTGAGCAGATCTTTTGTGGATCCTGTACAGATACAGTTCGAGCTGCAACAGATATCTATTTACAGTTAATGATACCGGTCACCTTCAGCAGAGACAGTAAACTTGTACTTCTGAAACACTGTGTGACGGAAGTAAAGAATGTGTCTAACCTCAAGTCATAACAGGAACCTCAAACAGCATCTGTGGAGCAAAAGGCAAAGGCTTCTTACACGTGCAGAAGACCATTAAAGTACATGAACGCCACTCTGTTATACTGTATGTACAATGCAACACAATGCAAACAAGTGTACAAAGTCAAAAGGCAAAGTTTGATCCTTAAAGCCCCGTTGAGTATAAATTAAAACAGATTAGTTCAAAGCTTTCTAATCTCAAAGTTGCATTGTTGTTTAGTAATCAAACAAACATAACACCATGATTTCATTTTTCACCAGATTAAATGCAATCTGACAGTCAGCTTCTGCTATGCGGTGAATTTACTCCATCATGATTCTATCTGTTTCTATCATGTGTCCTTAAGATTACAGTAACACAAAAGTACAGCATCACTGACTTCAGACAAGGTTTTGTTGGTTAATTGCACCTTTGCATATCACTGCCTCAATACACTGGTTGTTTTTGCCATTTAAACAACATGGCAGCTGGACGGGGAAACTAAATGACCAACTGGTCGGTCTGAAACGAGCAAAGAAATTTGAGTCGCTCTGAGCACCGCTTTGCACCAGGTGTTAAGATAGGGCTCCAACCTGATGACGATCCAGATAACACAGACATATCTTTCACATATGAAGAACGCAGCAGGAAATTGTCTGAGTCAGACACGTTCACAGCAACAAGAGAACTTGAGGAACGTTCAGGCGAGGCGTGGTGCCTGGGAAGAGCACGAAGGAGGCTGGACATGATGTGTAAATTCCGCTGAGAAAAGCGCAGTGTTTTTGTTTACAGCACATCGACATCTGTTATGGCCCTTATCGCCAAAAGCTCTCGTGGTCTTTCCAGGTTGACATCCTCGTCAGCATCTTTTACGTGCATGACAGCTCTTTTTTCATCCTGAGATATTTGTATTCTTACAATTTTGCGTCCTTTGCACGAAACATCATCAACGTGATGCTCGTTGTGACTTTTGAAGAAATGTTCCTGCTGCATTCTCACATGGTTAAGATATTTTCCGGACATTTTCCAAAGGGCCTGCCACGAAAAGTTCCAGAAAATATTCGTACTGAGTGAGACATTTGAATTCTCATTAACATTCTCATTCTCATGTACATAACCCCCTGGGAAACGTCAGATAATTGTCCAGCCCACAGTGAGTGTCTGAAAGCAGCTACAGTGTGCTGAACCAAACTCAAGTTCAAAAACAATGACTCTTGTATAAAAATTATGAGGTTGCAGATGCATCTTCATTAATGCTTAATCGTACAGATGGGATCATGAGGTTTGACCCCCACCTTTGCAGTCCACATGTCAGTACCCTTGAGCAAGACTAAATGCTCTTGCCTTATGTACATGAGTGGGTGTGTGTGAGAATGAGAGGTAAATCGGCCAAAGGCGCTTTGGATAAAAGCCTGAAATAAATACAGATATGATGAGTGGAGCAATGATGAATATAAATTTGATCAAGTGTGAGAGAATCTGGCACATCTGACAAAGTACCTGCTGAGATTTGAGGGGTAAAAAAATAAACAGAGCATTGTGCGTTTAGAAACCCAGAGGGTGAGGAGCCACCACTCCTCCGTTCTCCACCATGGCAGCGGAGATGGACCGCAGGTTCTTGAAGAGTCGTCTGGACTCACTGGATTGCAGGGTCTTGATGTCGCGCATGACCCTCTCATGGGCCTGAGGGACAAAAGGAAGCGTTAACGAATGAATAATCGATCGAGAGCTTTTGCCAGCAGATGTTGGGGAGCGAGTCTTTGAGAAAAAAAAAACTCTGAAAGTTAACAATATAAGGAGTTCAGTTTCATAGATTGTATATGAAGATGGACGAAATGACTGCTCCTCATAAGTGAAGCCACAAGGAGGGGGCAGTGTTGACGCTTCGTCCATCTTTATATACAGTCTAGTTCTTATTAGTTGGACTTTTTCTTGAAAAAATGACAGTTGCATACTAACTGGAATTTATTATCATCTGGTATTAAAAGGTTTACTGGTATATTGCCTCCAATCATCCATGTTAAAATGACTGTTTCAATATCACCCACATTTATTTTATTTATTATTCTACCTTATTACAAACATGATTCAGCATGAAGCACTAATATTAGATTGTTTTTCTTACTTTCACGATACAACATTCAGTCTCAATGTAGAACCTTACCTCCACACACCAGGTCTCACACAGCATCTTCTCGTGCTGAGCTGAGGCTTGACCCTGACTCAGAGAGCGTGAAGCCCTGCAGAGGAAAACGAAATAAAAGAAATGTCTCTTAATCGAAGAAGGCAAGTGAAATGTGTACAGAGAGTTAAAAATGACTTGTCATTCTCCTCATCGACAACTTTTTTGACGAGAGCCAGTTCCTTAGAAATCTGATTTCACTCATACCTGGACAGGACCACCACCATGGCGTAAAGGTCAATGGCGCAGTCGGCGACTCTCTTCAGGACAAACTGTTCATCTGAAACAGGAACATGCATGTTGAGTTGACTCATCACAAAACAAACTCACCTGAATGACAAGAGGATTCCTCATTTTTATTAAATGCGATTGTGACAACGCACGGTGCAAGTTTGAGTGGACAAATCAGAATTCTTATTTTATATCATCGCTACAAGATCAACCACGTAAGACTCAATGACTTTAACTGACAGCAAAAATGTACTGGATGGGGATTTTCTCCAAACCCACGTGATTTCTCATCCCTTCACACACGCACACACACTTACCAATGATCTTCTTGCCATGTTTGATAAGCAGCTCTTCAATGACGGCTCCGAACTGTTCAATTGCTTTAACTGTCTAAAAAGGGACACACACACACACACACACACACACACACNACACACACACACACACACAGAAGTCAGTAGAAAAAACGTTTTCACCCACCCACGCACTCTTTCCTAGCTATCTTTAGGGAAACCCCTTAAATCAATGGCGGAAACAGTTACATACCAGTTCACCACTCTGTGTCAGCTCAGGGTGCACAGTTCCCTGCAGAGTCAAACCTGTGCCCAAACCTGCCTTCCTACAAACACAACAAAAGATGACAGTGTTATATCAACAAACAGACATGTTGTGGAAACAGCTCAACAATATTCAGTTTTACATCAGTGTCCGCACTAAATCTTTTTAGCAACAGGACGACTGTGTAGTGTGAGGCATTCGAACAATGCTCATAAACACGTTATACAATTATGTTTCCTACTCAAAGCCAAAGAAAATAGACTTACAGCCTAAACAGCTGCTTCGAGCTGCAGTTACAAATGTCGAGAGAAGCAAGTGAAACCGGAGCAATTACAGGTGTAATTTATTAGATTATAATTAGATTCATTTTCTGTGCAGTGTTTGTAAAGGGTCGGGCTAATCGCTACAGTTATTTTGTATGACGAGCTGTTTCACCACATCAGAGACGTTGTGTATACCCCATTTGAACTCAGCCTGACCAATGCAGTTACCGATGTTAGATAGTAAAGAATTTATAACATATGTATATATATAAAATTGGCAATTATTCCTAAAATATCACAATAGAACCCAAAGTCGGAAAATGTATTACTTTCATGTCAAATATAAATATAAATGCACATCTTTGCTGAAAACATTTGTTAAACTGCTGCAGGGAGATTTGAATCTCATAAAAGTGTAAGTCAACAATCTTTAAACAAAATTCTTTGAAGGAGGAAGTGAATGTAAATGATAGGCAAATCCTGGAAATGTGAACTATTTGTAATACAGGAGAGCAAATATCACATGATGAGCAGTTTCCGATCAGAGGTCAGTTCAAATCTTTAAATTGTATCTGTCATGTACAATAGGGGAAGACTCCATCTGTCTATCTCCCCCTGCATAGAATAAACAAATAGTGAAGGGAAGTGTGAGTTGCAACCTTTTGGCTCTCTTGGAGATTTCCCCTGCGAGAAACCCAGCATTGCCAAGCGGGTTCTTCAGGGCCTTCTGTAAACTCTTCAGCTGGTTCCCAGCATTCTAGAAGGAAGAGATGGAAAAATGACATATATCAACAACAGGGAGGGAAATTGATTCAAGGTGTTTACTTAGACTGTGGCTCATTAAGTCACAGATATGTTGAAACCAAAAGCAAGATGAGAAAAACCTTATAAGGACCCCTTAAAAAATTACATTACATGATACACAGTTGCATCAGACTTGAGGTACTCCCGCGTCATGCTGTAGTCATTACCGAAATCTTACCCTAATATATGAGGAATCAGATGTGTCATAATTCAGGGGAATTTTCAAAGAGATATACACTTTTCTCTTTTTAAAGCAACACAATGTAAGAATTTACCTCGGGTACATTTCCATAACAAAATACAAATAAAGAAACGACAAGGTTACAGCCTATGTTTGACTAAATCATAAATAACACTGGCAGGGATGTTTACTCTACCGCATTGTCGTCACTAGTACAAAAGCAACATCTTTAAGTTGGCATCTGTCCTGCATCCTTTTGCCTGACAGAGATGTCATTCTCCCTCCTATAACTTCGCATACCAACAAAACAATTGTGAAGCTGTAATTTGAAGGTAAAAAAACGACATTGTGTTGCTTTAAAGCTGTCCTAAAATCGACCTCCATTACAGGATAGTGCACAATTTTGAATAATAAATGCTGTCAGTGTTGCCAGATGTGCAGTTTTTGTTCCACTAAACTATTAGGTTCCTTTTATTTGAGTAGGTGATACTTCTGTTAATTTTAAACTTTTTGACTCATCTGAGATATTTTAAGTTAAATTATCGTTCCTCTCCTCAGAATAAACAGAGATGGTCTCTGTGTCCTCTCTATAAGAAATACAGTGGAAGAGAATGTAAAGACAGAGTATGGGAGACACAAGTTTAACACAGACGCTTGGTGTTAAATAAGAAAAAGGAAGTCGCTTCTTGATCACCCTCGTTTTATAAGTTACAGCGGTTTCTTACAAGTCGCATAGGAAGTAGTGTTAAGAGTTTTAGACAGCAGAGATCACTTCCTCTAAACAGAACATCTGTACTTTTCCACATAGTCGTTATCAGATCACCACAGTTGAGTCTGCAGGAAAAAAAAAAAAAAAAAAAAAACAGTCCAACAAAAGGGGTTTCATGTTACCTGGAATCCATTGAGGGCGACAAATAGCCTCAGGATGTCATTGGTTCCCTCAAAGATCCGGAAAATTCTCAGGTCTCTCATTACTCGCTCCACTCCAGAATCCTTCAGAAACAGATTCAGACTTTTACATTTCTTTCTGAACCAAATCCTGTGCACAATTCAGCAGCAACAAACACATATGACCCATAAATTAAGGTTACATACATACAGATATGTTTTTATCTTAAAATGTTAACAATTTCTGTCCACATGAGTGTTAACCTCTGGATCAGAAGTAATATCCATCCATACCAACACTTAAAAGCAACTGTCGTATGACCATTAAAGTATACTGGCATGTGCGTGCCACTATAAACTGGAAGCAGCAAACAGTCATTAAGCAAACATTTGTATTTTAGGCAGCACAGATGACATATTCTGTCCAGAGGAGCAGAAATGAAAATGTACAGGGCACACACGTCTGACTTGTCTTCCCTGGTGAAATGAAACCCTGAGTCAAAATGCTAACTGTGAGCAGAACTTATCAAATCATGTTTGTATCACAGTTTCTTACCTTGTTCCCTTTAGATAGCTCATTGCCCACAACTAATTTCACACTTATCTTGCTTAAGCATGCCGGAAGAGGACAAAGTTACAGAAACATCTGCAACTTAAATCTTAAACGTTAAATATTCTGTTCTCTGTTGAAGTTTTCTGTGACCTTTGAGATTATAAATTGTTCTGTTGTTAAACTAAATTGCTGGTTAACTGCACTGGTTATTTTTCCTGCTCTGTGTAAGTGTTTGCAGAGAACAATGTGTACCAGGGTTGCCACCTCTGCAGTTATTCAAGTGTTGTTTCATGATTGGGCATACTTTCCACTGTGCTGCATGTCGGCAGTGGCCTCCTGCCTTGTTTGGTTTATTTTAAGAACAGCAACAATCTTGTTTCCATAACTTCAACTTCAACCACATATCTTTGGTTACTTCGTACACGCTCTAGTCTTCTGTGCTTACCTGAGGAAACAATCATTTACTTATTAAGTATTTTCTGAGCATGTCTTGCACGCAGCAACAATATAACTCAACAACGGACTGGTAAAATAAGTATACACTGCTGTGGCCATGCCTACAACAATGTACTTGTAGAAACTACAAACGAGAAGTAAGAGCTGGGCTTTAACTGCACAACAGCTGTTAGCAAAGATTACAGGTTAGCAACACTTGTAGTTGATTTTCTATGTCGCGTTCTACATTGTTTGCCGAGTCTGATGCCGTTTGGTTTCTTCCGGATAGGATCATGTGATAGGAGCCTGACAAATCAGCCAAGCCAACATTGTGGCCAAAAAGATCAGTTTGAGCCCGTCCAGACCAAAACGTTCCTAACAGGTTATTTTATTATTTTTGGGGCCAGGAATGAATTTGTTTGTTAAAGAAAAAGAAGGTAGAAGGTAACGTAATTTACAGATTCAACTCTGCTTATAGTGAGCCACCTTAGAAAAAAGCAACATTGCATGTAACAGGGTATAAACAGAGCATTCACCTTCATGAAGCCCATGCCGCCCATAACCTGAATACACTCGTCAGTCACAGTCCAAGCTGCTTCCTGTCACAGTTGAGGGGGAAGAAAAAAAAAATCAAAACAATAAATCAGATTCTGCTTTGACGAGTACACAATTATATTAAATCAGTAAACAAGCCTTGAAACATCCACTTCCCCTTCCACCCTGTCTCTTCAGTTTTCCACGGAATAAGGAACTTTTTGAATGTTACGAAATAGGTGCTGTTTTCCCCAGACCACTAATATGTGTCAGAAATAATTAACATAAATACAAATATAAGTCTTCCCTGATTACCACAGGAGATAGAAATGAAAGCAATTAAGATTCAGCCAGGCACTATGAGAAATATTATCACCTCTACAATCTCTTCCTGTAAAACCAATGAGAGTGCTGTTTTGCGAAAGCTCTTACAGAAGCAAAGATCTTGCTGATGGCAGCTTCAATCTGGAACTCAGACGCTCCACTGTCCATATTGCCACTGATCATGTAGGCCATCGACTGCAAAAACAAACCCAGAAGATGTAATGTCAGTGCAAATCTATGGTGTCTTGTCCATCTATGCATTGATTTCCTGCAGCAGTGCAAAACAATGTAAGGATCACACATGATGATGATGATACAAGTATAAAAGTACAAAGTATAAAAGTAAAACACAATCTTTAAATGCTCATGATTTATTGCCTTCACCAAGGAGGTTATGTTTTCACTTGTCTCTTTGTTTACTCTTCGTTTATTTTTTTGCTTCATTTTTCACTTCGATTACACAAAAACTACAAAACCAATTTCTACCAAACTCTCTCAAGGGATGGGGCCTGGGAAGATCCCATTACATTTGGAAGAAAATTAAAGGGCAGATCCAGGAATCCAGACCACTGGCATTTCTACTCACAGATTTGTTTGACCTTGGGGAAGTAGGCGCTCTACTGAGCAAACTGTCTAACCACTCTAAGACAACTTACCTCAGAGGTTTTGCTGTTACACTGTTATTTTATGAACAGGAAATCTATGCCTGATGTTGAGAGATACTGACAATATTTGGTTCAAAACCATGTTCATGTGAAGTGAAATTAAACATCTCTGTGTTGGAAAATACTGACTTTTGGAGAAGGGGTAGAAAAGCCCTGTAAGTTACACCGACCTCAGTCACGTATTGCAGCATCGCCATGCGTGCCATTTTCTCCTGGATGGCTCCATAGTTGTGGATCTTGCTCCCAAACTGGGTTCTGTTGGCTGCGTGATCCACCTGATGAAAAGAGGGAAATGATGCTTACAGTCACAAATGAAGTCACAGTTATGGGCTGTAGCTTCAGCTTAGTAACAGGTCGTTCCTCTTACTGTAGCACATGAGATCAAATGCTTCTGCCGCTCAGTTAATAAAATATACTGAGAAAAAACTGATTTTTTTTCTTTGTATCAGTATTACAAGTCAAATACGAAGAGTTAAAATTATCCCATACACAGCAGTTCACTTTGTGTTAACTTGTAATTAAGAACCTTATTAAATTAAGCAGTTTCTGACAAGATGACATATTTGTTCACTTCATCAGTCCATAAAACTGAGTGTCTTAGAAAAACAGATGTGACTGGAGCTCATCGGAATCTTTGGCGCCAGTTAACTCAGCAGGAAGTTGCAAGGCAGAAAAAAGGTCACACTGAACTGAAGACAGAGAATTTCCCACAAAACCACAACGAAAGAAATACACGAGTAAAAGAGGGGGTATAACACCTACAGATGAGAAGCGATGCAGCACATACATACTTCCCTCCGTGTCTACATATATTGTGCTGCATGTTGTTTACTCACAGCTTTGGTGATGACACCCTTCATAGTGCCGGAGAGGGCAGCGGCCATGCCGAAGCGGCCGTTGTTCAGGATGTTCATGGCGACCTTGAAACCGCCACCGACCTCACCGAGCAAACAGTCAGCTGGCACGCGTACATTATCGAAGTAGACCTCAGCCGTGTTGGAAGCCTTGATGCCCATCTTCTTCTCTGGGGGGCCACTGCGAGTCAGAGGAGAGAAAACAGACACTGATTCATTAAATTTAAAAAATAAAAACAATCAGGGCTTGGTGACAAACAGAAAACAATGCTCACTGTGTCACTCCTCCAAAGCTCCTCTCCACGATGAAGGCTGAGATCTTGTCCTTCATCTCGCCAGTTTTTGGATCCTTCATGGGTGTCTTTGCGAACACTGTGAAGATCTCAGCCAGGCCTCCATTGCTGACAAGTAAATTTGTTTTTTTGTTAAAGCAAAGCTGAACATCAGCCTCTAGCCATTACATCATGTTGCAGAACATAATGTATCATACAGTGCTGCCTCCTTGTGGTGAAATAACAAAAGCCTGTTTCTTCACCTGATCCAGATCTTGCTTCCACTGAGGGTGAAATATTGTCCGCAGGGGGACAGAATAGCGGTGGTCTTGATAGACGCTGCGTCAGAGCCACTGGCTGGTTCAGTCAGACAGAAGGCTGCTATATTCTCGCCTGCGAGGACAAATACACACAAGCGATGTCAATCAGGAACAGTGCACAAAACAAAAATGATAAACCGCTCTCAATCTGTCCTTCATTGGATTGAATGATTAGGTTTATGGTTAAACTGTAAGATATCAAGCCTTAGTTACTTTTCTTTGTCAAGTGTTTGATAATAACAATAGGAATCATACCTGTGGCGAGTTTAGGCAGATATTTCTCCTTCTGGGCTGGATTCCCAAAAAGAAGAATGCCCTTGAAGCCAATAGACTGGTGGGCACCTAGAGTGATGCCAACACCCAGGTCATGACTGCCAACGATCTCAACCAACCGGCCATACTATCAGACATACAGATATTATCACATTAGACACACAGCACTTGCCAGTTTATCTGTTTCTGACACAATATTTACTCATGTGGGAGTGAAATAGAGCCAATAACCGTAAGTCTAACAAGGAGAGGTTACCTGTGTGTTTGAGAGGCCGAGGCCATTCAGCTCAGCTGGCACCTGCAGGCCAAAGGCGCCCATCTCCTTCAGGCCCTCCATGGTGTGATCCTCCACCTTCTCCAAGGCATCGTTCTTGGCAGGATCATTCACCTCCTGTTCACAGGGAGAACAAACATTGAAGGTGGGGGGGTGAATAAGAGGGTTGTAAAGTGTGTGATCAGACAAACTTATCTATGAGCGTTAATATGTACCTCAAAAAATTTGGAAACGGGCCCCACAAGCTCTCTGAGGAACTGCTCCTGCTCCTCATTGAGAGCTACAGTACAGACAATGGGGATTACACAGAGGGTTAGGGTTAGAGATATTTCATTAATTGTTGGCATCTTTTAAAACAGATATTAACATGATAAGACTAAGGCATTTTTGTGCTGTGCTTAAACTGAATGAACAGAAAACTATGCGGATACCATTCTTATATATCAGGACTGAACCATTACATGTTCAATGTTTGCACCAGATTCCAGCGTAACTAGTCTTTAACAGAGGTATGTTTGGCACCTTTTGTTTTTTCAAGTTTATCCTGCAGGAGTTTCTGGGGGCTGGTGTTACATGTTTACACAGAGAAAATGATTTCATGAATTGAGAATGAGTCTTTAGTATCTCCGGTGTTACCTGAGGGGTAGGGAAACACTTGGGCAGTGGCGATCTGCCCCTTGAAAATGCTGACAGCAAATGATTTGGATTCCTGTAAAGAATGAAGTCAAACATCATAAAGCTGTTGAGTGGCTGGGTAACGGTTACCAACCCTGATTTTTCTTCCTCATAAAACAATTTAAAGTAGATTTGTAAATGTGCCGCAGCCTCTGTTTTTTAGATTTATAATTAGTCTCTTGCAGTCTTCGCCTCCCCTGTCTGTATTGGCACAGTGGAATAGTGTGAAACTATTGGTGGGACATTGAATTGCATCAACCACAAGCATGTGCATGTCACTCCAAATAAACAGGAACCCATCATTAAAAGCACTTATCTTCAGAGAGCGGGAAGATTAAATTCTAAAGATGTGGTCAATAAACTGTAGCTTAATGTGTCAACAAAGACTAATTGTAAAATACCACAATGGAACATGATGTAAACATACATGAGAAACTGTCTTCTTTTCAACTTTAGTGGCAGCATCACTTCCGACTGTTGCCGTCTTCTCAATCACCGCCTGAAGAGAAACAAACCGTTCAGCTCAACAATTGAAAAAATAAAGAAATAAAAGAACCATGTACATTGCACTGCTCAAATAAACAGATCTGTCAGGTTGATGAGATAACAAATGCATCTTTATTATTTCCTTACAGTGAGTCTCATTGTTTCTTTCAGCTGGATAACAAACTTTCATTTTACTGTTTACTGTTACTTTGCTATATTGAGCCCTGAGATAAATCAACAAATAAAATAAAATAAGATTTAGAGTTGACATGAACTGACGCCTTGAAGTAAACCTGTTATTTTACCTGCCATGATAAGACTAAGGCATTTTTGTGCTGTGCTTAAACTGAACAAACAGAAAACTATGCAAATTCTTATATATCAGGACTGAACAATTACATGTAAAACGTTTGCACCATTTTCCAGTGTAACTAGTCTTTAACAGAGGCATCTTTTTGGTTTTTCCAGTTTATCCTACAGGAGTTTCTGGGGGCTGGTGTTACATGTTTACACAGAGGAAATTATTCCATGAGTTGAGAATGAGTCCTTAGCGTCTCCTGATGATCAAACTGATGAAATGAAACAGCTGTCAAACAGCGATGAATGACAAGTTTAAAAAGACTGAAAAACAACACATTTTGTTAATATATAAAATTCTCCAATTTGTTCATATTACCGCAGCCAGAGTTCTTACAAAAATTCAAGCATTTGAGCACATCATCCCCAGTCTCACCTCATTGCACTGGCTACCTGCTACGCTCTGAACTGATTTCAAAATTGCAAGTTTTTACATCTCTTAACGTCATTGTCCCGTCTTTTATCCCTGTCCTTCTAATCCTGTACATATCTGCTTGTAATCTAAGGTCTGCAGATCAACTCTTGGTTCCCAGAGTTCGGCGTGAAACTGAGGGCGGTAGAGCTTTGTCTGTAAGGGCTCGACAAGTATGCAATAACAGATAAGCTGCATCATTGTCCTCTTTTCAATCTTGTTGAAAGACTAATTCTTAGAATATAGCTTGTACCTTGTATTCGTATGTCATTTTTCTGTTTCTATGTTTGTGAAGCACTTTGTAAACTTGTCCTATATAAATAAAGTGCATTATTAATATTAATGTCAGATGTGGATATGCACTAAGATGGCATCTTCCAAACTGTGTGAATGGTTGAACCCTGTCCAGGAAAAACGAGAGTCACCCACATGTGTCACCTTTACCACTGAGTCATGTGACCAGCGAACCTTCACCCACTTCGAGGGGGAGAGGGGGAGGGGGGCAGCGTTATGTCACCCTGACTGTCATTTCCAAAACAAGGCGAATCAACAGACACTGGAACATCACAGACCATCAGAATGCAACAGAAACATCTGACAGATTGTAGATTAAAGAGTTAACAACTGACAAACGTAAGCTAAAGAGTTAGCATTGACATGTAGGCTAATGTTACTGTACCTCTGCAGCTTGGCTGGCGTAGAGACGGGAGCCTTGCACAGCTGCCACAGCCCTGGCCTGACGATGACCTCTGTGGTCCAGACAAGAAACGATATGAGTGCTTGTTTCTCTTTTTTTTTTTTTTTTATAAACAACAAGTCTGTCATTGTAGCATGGAGCTAACGTGAAGCTTCGAGAGTAACGTACCCAGACAGCCCGGGGGGGATCCGGAGAATGGAGCCGCACAGGGCGGAGGTCTGGCTCACCTTACGAAGCAGCATGGTTATTGATGTGTTGTTATTCTTCTGTGAAGGCAAACACAAGCTAGTTAGCTCGATAACACACCGGTTGCTAGCTAGCGGCTAGTGTAGGTTAGCTAACGGCTAACGCGGTGCGCAGGAAGGCTACGTAACGTTTTCTGACTCCTCGCACAAAAAGCGGCTGGTGTCGGTTTGAATGGTTTAATTCCTTCGGTCGCGAAACGAAAACAAATATGTGTAAAGTACCTGCTCAAGTTATTTCACGTCCTCAAGGTCCTGACAGGAGTCGACTGTTCGGTTCCCCTCAAAAGAACTCCTCTACTGTAGTGTGGCGACCGCGGTGCTCCCTGGGATATGTAGTGTACGGGGGTGGTCCAAGTCTACCGAACCAAAATACATTTTAAAAAGCCACTACGTCATTTAACAGACAACTTCAACAATTAATTTACTTTAACATATATAAGTATAGCGCAAACATAAATACGTGGGAGTAATACTTATTGTAGTTATTCCACATATTGACAATATATACTGTACCTCCTGTTCTGTGACTTTGTCCTTCTTCTCCCCAGTAGTTTTAAAGTTGGACAAACCTTTAAATATTAATATTTGTGTACATAAAATTCTGCCATTACGGATCCCAAACTGAACAAATTATTGAAATTGGTTAATTATTATTGATCAAACGTCCCATCCCCGTTTTATTTAACAATCATTAACCTCACATCTACATCGAGGGTCAACGTCCTCTTGATTCAACTTCCAGAATAGGTAACATGCAGGTATCTTAACCTGATAGAAATCTTCACATCACAAAGTCACAGTTCTCAGTAGATTCATGTTATGTGAGATTCATGTTGGGCATTTTTATTAATTATCACAATTTGGATTTTCAGAGAGGTCTTTAAAGATGAAGGTTGATTTACAAAGTTATTAAAGTGAAAAATAACAATGAACCATAATAGAAATGTAAACAGGTGATAATGAAAGACAAAACGCTTCGTGCACTGGTTCCTTAAATTAGGACAAACGTTGTGCAGTTACACTTTGAATCATTAAACCTTGTAGTGACCATTAGGTATTGATGAGTTGTTATTTTTTCGACTACACTGAAGAAATCCTCCTGTTTTGTCACAAAGTTGGAAATTTGTGCATCTTTTCCAAAATGAACTCAATACACACCCTATCCTATTATTTTAATGTAATGCTTAGAGAGTTTCTGGTCATTTTCCATGACCCTGATTGGTCAGTTGCAACAAGAACCGAGAGTAACAGCAAACCGCCGAAGACCTTGATAACTAACCTGTGAGTCCATTTATCTGGTTGTGTGAGAGGTTCATATGTTTTACAAACTCAAGTCTGACCAGAATGCGAGTATCAAATTTATTCTCAAATACACAAACAGAGGTGGCAATATGAAATCAAACAATGTGACACTGTCAAAATGTCATCCTTTCTTTCTTTTTTTAAATGTTGACTCTTCATTAGCACCTTAATAGTTGGGTTACAAATGATTTATATAGTCACTCATACAAAAATGAAATAGGCGAATAATGCGAGTCAGTAACATAAAAATAAGCATGAGGAGCTGGGGGCATTTGGATCACAGTTACTTAAGATGTACTCTGTATGTAATCAAAAAGTACCGCTTTCAGTATCTTATCTTCACTGACTAGTACCGTAAAGCCTCTACAGTCCCAGACCACAAACCATAGCACTCCTCACAATACGCGTTTATTTGACTAGGCCTAGACAGTGATTACTAAACACAAGTTCACCTGACATATTTGGACCTATTTTCTTTTTCACATTAGAGCTTGCTGTTCTGTATTATTGCATTTACATTGGAGTAGTAGATATATACAGAAAGTTCATTGTCAAACAATGCTGGAACAAGAGGAGGTGTTTCTATGTACTTGGAGTGTAAAGATGAGTAAGGCACTTGATATACTCCTGTGCCGCCAACGACTCTGGCGTTATGATCCAGATTTATGTACAGGATTGAATCCTTTTCAAGTACATGGTGTGCTGGGCGCCCTCTAGTGTTAAACTGTGGTCTGTGCGCTTCCTGGATGGGCTGCTCTGACATAAACGGCTGATTTGTGAAGGTGCTCACCCTCCTAAAATATATTTGGAATTGAAAAAAGCAGAGTGCTAAGCAGCTCTGGCAGGCACTCAAAAACTTTACTGAGAGTTTGCTCCAACAAGCTCAGTGCAGGGATTAAAAACAGAACTGGTCTTTGTAGATTTCGGAGTTATTTAATGATTTAGAATGAGAGACTAGATGTTGTGAATGCATCTATTCTGACCATTAATTATACTCTAATTTTGTCATATTTTCTTTGTCAATGTTAAACCCTGTTTTCACCAAATTTGTAACAAGCGCCCCTCATCCAATAGGCACTTGTGAGCTCAACAGGCTACCACCAGATCCTTGTCAAAACAAGTGGGAACCGTACACTAACTTCACATGAATTGTCACTCAACACAGACTGAACAACTACATGACATCCACAAAGAACTCGCTGGGGTTGCCCATGGCCAGATGGAATGACTGGCGTGATGCCGTCAGCTCTGGCGGTACCGAGCCGAGGTCACGGGTGGGCGGGGCGCCGGGAGGTCCCCCCGGAGTGGAGGAAGGGGGCGGAGGTAAAGCTGGGTGCATGGGGGCTGTGGGCAGCGCCTGCGCGTGAGGGAGAGCGTGAGCGGCTGCCATGGCCGCGTGCGGGTGCTGCGGCACCATCATCACCATCATGGGGTTGTAGGGCAGGATGCCCGGTGGGTAGGGAGACATGTGGGGGGGTTGGGGGATACGGTGATGATGCGAGCGCTGAGAGGAGGCGTGGCTGTGCTCACTGGGGGCAGCAGAACCGTGGCCTCGCCGCAGGCTGCTGCGGGTGGAGTACTCTGATTCGCTGCCGCTGCCTGAGCGCGAGTCGGCCCCACCACCTTCTCCACCACCGGCAGAGGGAGATTTCTCCCCTCCACCCACAGTGCTGCCGGGACCTTTACTGCTGCGACGGCGCTCGCCTTCGCTTCTTGTCGATCCACTGCTTCGGCTCCCTGAGGTCAGACAGAAAACATTTTTTTAGAAAGAAATACTTTGAAATACAGCTGCAACCATATAAACTTAACAATTCTTAACTCAAACACAGCTGGTTAACAGCAAAAAGCCAAAAACTGAATATTATCTTTTTCAGAAGATCCACTTATCTATTCTTCTTCTGGGTTTGTTACAACACAACATTTTTAGCAAATGACAACTACATCCTACAAATTTACAACTGCAACTCAACAGTGTGTTTTATAAAGAATCCTGATACCACCATCAAGAAGCACAGAGGACTTCAGAAATGTAGTTAGGGAAGGAAATCCAAGAACTTAACATGCATCATGTGTCTCAGCTGATCACAGATTGTTCTCACCTTCACTGTGCTGGCTGCCGGTGCTGCCGGGGGCATAGCTGTAGCTGGTGAGCTCGTGGTACGGAGGCGGCTGGCTCGAGTAGGGATGTGTAGGGTAGGGCTGATAGGGGAAGGTGTGCATCATGGGCCACGGGGAGGCCCCAGGGAGTGGCAGGGGGGCCAAAGTGTCCTGGTCTGAGGCCCCGCTGGAGCCATCATTGTCGTTCAGGGACAGATTGGCCATGTCTGGGTGGGAGATGAAAGAGATTATATTAATTCTGCAGAGACATGTTCCTTAAAAGATGCTCATTACATTTCATTATCACCTCCTTTTTTCAACCATGTTACACTTGAATATATGTATCATTCACATACATTAGAAACTAGTTAAGTCAGACTGCATTAAAATAATCAATAATGTCTTGTTCCTTAGTTGTTATCAAATGTTTTTTGGAGATGGCACAAAATAAAATTTAAATCGTTCTATAACTGAAATGTCACAAGATTGAACCCTGCAACCGCCAGCGTGGCCTCAACAGGCCTGTGTGCAGAATGTGAATAAGATCCAACACTCAGCAGATTGATCTCAGCCGGTCTGTAACTCACAGTTCTCACAGTCGCTTAAGTCTCCGAACACGTAGTAGCACTGTTCAGAGAAGGTGATCTTGTTGACGGTGTGTCGAATGAAGCCGGCCTTCAGTAGGTTGCTGGCGTACTTCCTGGCTTCACGGCGGTCCTGGAATCCCTCGATGTGATGGAAGAGCCACTCCACCACATCTGAGCCTGGTGGAAACAGAGACAGGGTAGAAAAGAGGAGAGAAGTTCACTCATCAACCAAAGGAAATGTTTCCACCACACAAGTTATTTTGATATAGTTATTTTAACACATACATAGTTGATGACAGAGTATGAGGGTCAAATGGAAGAAAGGAAATCGGAGAACTCAATGTAATAATACTGCAAGAATAAAGTTTTTTGTCTGTTCAAATATTTTTATAAAGGAGTTTGTGTGAATGGGATTTATTGTTGTTTTTTGACATGGTATTGAAATGGGTATCAAAAATCTTGGAAATTTCATCATTATCTAAACTACTACTTAAGTTTTGGTATTGTGTCATCCAATCGCAGGCAACCACTACCAAACGTTCCATCCTCTACAAAGGAGTCTGTGTGGTTCTTTCTTCAGAATAGAATCTTACATTTCTTGTACAATATATTTCCTGATACTTCCGATAAAGTAGTGCTGATGAGTCAGAAGTACAAAGTATTTAGTTATATGTAAATCCTATACAGTACTGAAGTATAACCCAGCATCATGCTCCATATTGGTCATTTTTAAGATAGATGGCATCCTCATCTTCTGATATCCCCCTTCTAAAATGAAACTAAAATTTCATCGTAAAAGTGTAATAAAATGAACTGAATGAATCTCTGCGAGAAGCAAATAAGATAGAAACAGTAGTAACGAGAACGAACCGTACAATTCGATGAAAAGGGGGTAACCCTGTACTTAATATGCAATGCAGCACAAGTTCAGCAGCAGAGAGCAACATCCAAGAGAAACAAATGCAAAAATCTGCTCTACTCAGTTAATAAGTAGCAGTACAAATCAGATTTGGGTGATCAAATCTAGGATCACATCACAAAAATATGAAACACAACCTCCTCAGTCTGTTCTCAGGCAGCGAAAACAGTATTATTTCAATCCACTGAGTGGCAGTTTAAGTCTGTTGCTCCCACGATACTTTATTCTGTGATAATAAAATGTGAGTAAAGTCTGTAACCATGCAACATGTTCAAAGAGAATTTGGCATCATCCAAATTTTACTGACACAACAAAGCCTCCAAACGAGCAGCTGAATTAACACCTCTGACATTCTCAAAGAATATATATGATCTGCCCACTGATCAACGTTGAGCTGCTGGATTAAGAATGAAAATGCATGCAAAATCAGACTTTGCATCCAACTCAAAACAAAATGCGTAAACCCCCTGTGATTCTGTTGCAGGTGATTCCAATTTAACAGAAGTTTTCAGTCAAAACAGGCGCTCGCATTAGTTCTTGAGGTTTTTTTCCCTCCCACAAGTCACACGGCTTCAATTCTGTGAACATAATGGCTGCCCTGTAAAATTTTTCGAAGCACAGAGCGTTCGTGAAGTTAATGTCCTCTCTTTTTTGCCTTCTTTGCCCCCACCCTTTTTTGTCTTACCGAGGAAAGCATTGGGGATGGTGATTTTTAGCCACATGCGGTCCCTGACCTCCAGACCAGACTCCGGTGAGGCCATGGCTTTCGCAACTGAAGCCATGTCAGAGTGTAGTGATAAGTTGAAGTCGTCAAAACCTGGAAGAAGAGAGGGAGGAGCACTTTAGGAAATCTGAAGAGGAAGAAGTGCAGATGTGCAAGGATAAATGAAAGAGTGATGGAGAGATGAAATCAGAACTGGGTCAAAACAAGACGGCGAGGAGTGGAACTTTGAAGAGAAGATCAAAAGCAGGAGACATCATTTATCACATCGCGTCACAGCGGCGTCAGCGGAAAAGTAGAAAAACAGATGTGAAAGACGAGTCCTGTGCCAATGTCATTACAAGAAAAAGATGGAAGAAAGAAACAGTAAGGAAGGAAAAAGATACTTTACAATAACGACCATCATTCAAGCTGAAACCATTGACAGACTAACAAAGGAACTTGGCTCAGTTTGGCATTGGATATAGTTTTATGAGAAGATTCTGTGGCTGTGAAAGAGCTGAGAATAAAGAGGGGAGGTCGGTTACAGCGCGCACAGAGAATGAGATGAATATTAAAAGAGGCTCTCACGTTCGGTCTCAGTGACAGAGGAGGAGGAAGTGATGGTGCTGAGAGAGGAGCTGCCTGGGTAGGGAGGGTAGACCCCGGTCATAGCCACAGAATGGCTGACCCACGCTGCTGGGTCAATGGGTCGGATCGGTTCATCTACAAGGGTAGAGAAGAGATTAGGAAACTCACTGGCACCGACATCAATAACAGGAAAATTGGTATTTCGGTGTGTGCGAGGCAGTGTGGTACTCACTGCGAGGCAGAGTGAAGTAGCCCTGAGGAGAGGGGTCCCAGCACTTAGCCACTGTGAGGATAATGGGTCTGGAAAACACCAAAAGGAAAAACAAAACTCCTCCAAGTTAAAAATCTGTTTACAATCATGTTGACTGTGGTCTGATCACATTCAATATAGGAGAGCAGGAACTCACCCAGGCTTGTGTACAATCTCTCTCAGTACTCGTACTGCATCGTCGTTACTCATGTTTTCAAAGTTAATGTCGTTCACCTTGAGAAAAAGCATAAGAAACAGATTTGACCTCTACTTTTTTTTTTACCAGTCACAACAGTCTAGAGTTTGAAAATGTGTAAAGTCAAACCCATGAGTACTTGTATAATAATGTAGAAATAACTACTCAGAGTTCTCATGGGTCAGTGAGTAAACATGTTGGCGGACAGTGTGGCTGGTGTGATCCCATTGCAGGATGGTCTTTAGTTTGAATTTAAAAAACATAAAGCTCAACCTTTGGAATGGTGGTGCATGCAAAAACTGAAAAAGACGTAAAAATAGGATTTCATTAAGGGTAAGGCCTAAGTCGCGCTCACCTGCAGCAGCATGTCACCAGGTTCAATGCGTCCATCAGCAGCCACCGCTCCTCCCTTCATGATGGAACCAATGTAGATGCCTCCGTCACCTCTTTCATTGCTCTGACCCACAATACTGATGCCCAAGAAGTTGTACTTCTCTATATTATTGAGGAATTAGAAAAATGTTAATTTGACATTTGTCAAAAGAAAGTGTAGTGCAGCACTTGACTCACAAGTCTAAACTAATTTTCTGATTAAAAAGTAAAATATTTGGCAAACCAACTAGAATGGATAAGGAGTTCACAGACCCATGTTGAGAGTGACGGTGATGATGTTCAAGGACATGGTGGAGTCTGTCACGCTGCTGAAGGAGGAGGCCTGGAGATGAAAAGCACAAAATTCCACCATGAAATTTGCTTACTACTGACATACATCTGACAGCCGTGGAACAGCAGGGGGCAGTCACACAACTACATGAAGAGTTGACAAAGGCAAACGTATGAGAGAAATGTAAAGCATATGTACATACCCTCTCCAGGCGCGGAGGGCGCTGTTTCCTGCGTCGGCGGTGCCGCTTGAGAAGCCTGGAGGCTGTGCTCTGCTCTGTTGCACTACTGAACCTACAAGTTCAAGGGTCAACAGGAGGTGAGAGGTCAGATGTAAAACTTTTACAGGCGTGTTTCTGTGTCCCCCTTTTGTGTTGCTATTTGTATCTGAAACCCATCAAGATAATGAGGAGGCTAACTGGGGATTCTTGAGCAGTTAAATAGAAGAAAACATAAAAAACTCAAATAGCTACCAGAGCATTAAATTGGCGACGCAAGAGTGTAAATACATCAGATCCATATTGCCACATATTCCAGAAACAATCAGGTTTTGATCAAACTTCTATATATTATTAAAGCTGGCCAAAGCAACAATCTTTTTTTAGAAAAATTAAATATTACAAACATAAACAAAAAATTTTGTTTTTCGACTAAGCACATGGAGGCACAGAGGATATTATAAATGTACGCCAAGTTAAGCGCTAAGCGGTGTAGTTAAAATGAACGAGAGATTACATCTCCTGAATTCAACGACTTTCTCAGTCGACCCTCCTCTCACCTGCTCATGGTGTCGTCATCCTCGGAGTCACAGAAGCTGGTCGTTTCCAGCTCGCTGCTCATCACTGTGCTGGAGCTCTCGTATCCTGCCAGATGGCGCTCCAGACGACTCTGGCCATTCAAACGAGGCCCTGGGACACCACAGCAGCAGCCCCGCAGACAAGGAGGGAAGACACACACCATGAATTTTCATGTTTCTGGAGTCAGTTTATTTTAAGCATTCCTCGCTTCTCGACATTCCATGATTAAATCTCAATCTATTCAGAGTTTGGATGTTGGGAGCATGCCAGATCTTGATTCGAGCTCCATCCTAAAGCAACATTATTTAGTGTGTACTGTGATGTTGTGTTCCTCACCGTGTTGCTCCATGCCTTCTCTGTGGCGAGGTCTCTCTCTCCTAAAAGAAACTACAGACTCAGTTTCGGTCTGGTCGTCTAAAGTCTCCACACTGCCTGTGGCGTTAGGACTGTAAAAGAAGAAACAGGAGCACAGTTGGAATTAAAGTAAACAATCACCAATTAACCTATTAGTTTAGGAGCACTACAAAAATGTTGTATTGAGTTGTCAATTCCATTTCATGCTACCTGCTAAAGTCACTTTCCATCTCAACACCAGTTATAGTTTTCAAAATATATCCTTCAATACATTGGATAGATCCTTTTTTTAACTTGCAAACTGTAAACTCTGTCTTTAAAGAGGACAAGCTGGTTCAATAGCACTTCTTATAAAACCTCAGTTTTATAGACAATGTGATCCGGTTACACTTGTCACTTCAGTGCAGTTCTTGTTAAACTATAATAAGGTCTGATACTATGAGATCACATTACATGGAATTCAGAGATGGTCTGAAAGTGAAACGTTCGTCTCTTGTGGCTGAACTTGAACAGTTCAGATGACTGAGTACTTATTAAACTGTCAGGTGCAAGCACAGCTTCATATATGATGACTATAAAGATCAAGTTCAGTTTTGACTTGATGTGATTTTATTGATGATGACATAAAGTGGGTATTTGTGCTGGTTTGGTGGAGTTATGATGTCGCCCAGACTTGTTACTACATCACCGACCACAATGAAAATAAATCTGAGACTTCGACCCGACATCTTTGACATTTCTGCAGCTGTGTGTGATTTAATGTCCTTCTCATGCTGTCGAGCGCTCGATGAACTAAAAACCTCAAAATCTAATATTTTGCTTGAAGTTGCACATCAGGCAGCAGGGACATGAGAAATGGTTCTCTCTCGAAAACACACAGCAGTTTGTTAGGCTAATGTGCAGATATCCACTGAAGTGAGTACTGATAATGAACATAAACAGAACAAAAACTAAATACCTGAGTAAAGATCATTTAGATTTTATTTTTTATAAAAATGACCATGGTACACAATAAGTGTGACATTTTACCAGACACCATTTCTTAATTAAAAACCTAATTTTGTATTTCTGTATGGCAGAGTCCCTTTTGCCGTGTCACCAAAGCGATATGCAGGAGGAGATATGAGAAGAAAGTGACCACAGAGTCATATCTACAACTGGTAAGAGGCCAATATGAGTATAGCACCAAGCAAATTTCCCATTAAAGCCCCGTGGGGCAGCAGACCTCAGAAACATGCTCACGCTAACAAATTTGCTAATTACAAAGGTAGACACAGCTTCCTTGTGATGATAGCGAGCTAAAAAAAAAAAAAAGACTTTACATCATCAGACATTCACAGACCCTGCAATTAGTAGAATTACATTTAACTTTCCACTATACGCTACAGTGTTGAACCAGCATGGAAAGAAATAACTACTGTGGTTAATTCTCCACCGGGTGCAAACCGGATTTAGTGAAGTTAAAAAGAAATAGTTTGATTTGAAATTGGATCCGGCCAACATCCTGAAGCCAAAGGAGACAGACAGGACAAGGTCCAACGTGAGTGAATGAGGGGACTGCGGCCTTAATGAGATGTTGCACTGATGTGTGTGAACTCCATATGACCCCTTAACCAAATGTTATGAGCATAGTTCCTTGAGTTATTTAATTAGTTTGTTTTGGACTTAACAGGCCATGCTGAAATTACACTGGTACATTTCATCACCTCCGCCAAGGAGGTTCTGTTTTCGTTCTGTTTGTTTGTTAGTTTGCAGGATAATGCAAAAACTATTGGATGCTTGAAACTGGAGGTAAGATCCAGTCGAATGAGGGAAAATATTAAACTATGTGTGAGAACATTTTAAAAATCAGTCTGTTGGGGTTGAGTGTATTGAAAGAGCTGGTAGCTGAGCTGGTCATAATAACAAGGGCGGCCCCGGCTAAGATCGGGTTTAAATGAGCTGTAGTGTTCTTGCTATTCTTGTTGTAACCTGATAATGAGAGTGAATGAGATATTCAGGTAAATGATACAGTACTTACATTACAGCTATGTGAGAAGCATGAGGTGTATGTTAAGTAAGTACTGGCAAAATAAGCAGGTTTTGAGCCTTGTGGTACTCCTCTCTGGGTAATTGTACAAGACAGGAAGTGCTCAAAATTAGTATTCGTGTAAAGCTTACTGGAAGGAGGGCGGTCTTGAATCCCCGATGCCTCCTGTCCTCTCTGCAGGTGGGGGCGGCAGGGGCGGAGGAGGGGGCGACGGCTGGGTAGTCGTTTCCACAGGGGGAACCACTGCCACTGGAGGCTCCGCTGCTGGAGTGTCTGAAGATACCAACTGGAAAAACCCCAAATAAAACAATTCAGAGACAAAGAGAGACAGACAGTAAGAGGAAAAGAGAGGCAGGATGCAAAGTAGTGAGGAAAAAGAAAGGATGTACGTGGTAGAAAGCAAAGGGGTACAAACTGAGGACAGAGAGGAGAAAGGGTGAGAAATTGAGAGGAATGAAAGGAGGAGTAGGAAGAAGGTAGAGGGTACAGGGAGGGAAAACGGCTAAGATGTCAATTACTTTGACACACAGACACTGCACTCTTTTCAGCTGGACGTCTCAAGGGCATACTGAAACGCTATCCTACACTTAACCTGTCTCTCTCCATTATACAACAAAAGTGCCCACAAACGTGCACACACATACAAAGCCACACACAGAATTCATTACTTGAACCACAAAATTATAAGCAGGAAAGGTATAAAATGGAGTTAAAATAATGGACTAAAGTACAAAAAATTGAAAAGTTATTAAAATCCATGCATTTTAACAACCAAGCATTGCAGAGCACTTTGGAATGCCTGCTATATGCACCGTTCTTTCCATTGCTTTTGAAGTGCGGTGCATTCACTGACTTTGGATAAACACGCTTAGCATTACCTGTCAAAACAATTCAACCAAATGGAGTCCATCAGCCTTGGCAGACTGACGTTCACCCTCTTTTCCGAGTCACTCACAGCTCTTTCCCTCCCCACTAATGGCTACGTGACAGCGAAACACTCATCTTCTGGGATTCCTCTGGCCGCCTTGGCGTGCAGATCACATATCAGTCCCCCTGGTCTCCGAGCTTTGTGCGCCTCTCCTTTTAAATGCCTTCCCTTGTTCTTATGCACTTAACAGATGCTTTGGACTCAAACCTGCTTATCTGGGCCAAGTCCCCATGTTTTTGTCTTGCATTCAGATGTAACCTGCTGGGTGGGGTACAACAACTGCAGACATGGAAAGTATGAAAACCCTACCTGGCAGCTCACTGTACTGTAACTGCTGACAAGCAGCGCTGCTCGAAGCTCGCATGCTTGAGTATCGATTATCGCATTGAGAGAAACACATATAGCAAAAAGAAACCTGGCTTAAAAAGAACCTTCAATGCATAGAAATGGATGAACATACAACTGGAAATTATTGTGATTTCAGAGAATCATTTCACTGCAACAGCAACATGATAAAGGACTCGGCTGATGATGATGAGCAGACAGTGTTTGCTTTTGCCAACTGTGACTCACATTGTGGCTAAAACACAAAGATTTCTCATAGATGTTTTCTCTGGTCTCTCTCCGTTTCAGGCTTACTACTCTTTCCAAATGAAATGATTCCTAACATATTCTTTATCAAACACTTTTCCACACACAAGCCTGCATTGCTAAACACTGAGGCTGCAATATGATATGCAATTATGCTAATTTAATGACCGAAGTCTGAACTTTAATTACTCCATTTTATTGCTGCCCATTAGACGAGAGCATTAGTCTGAGAGGGGTCTGGGGGAATGCACAGGAAATGGCACCGTGGTTTGTGAAAACAGCCTCTGGCGGATGATGTTGGCTGACATTTGAAACAAAAGCTGGACATTTTCAGACAAACCTGCGCGGATAATTGTTGAAACTAAGGCATTTCTGAATAGGCCTTTTTCACAGAAGTAATTTTTATGTATCACACTGGGGAAAGTCAAAACCTCTGCTGTAAAAAAAAAAAGGCCTGTGCAGAACAATGGTCACCAGTGAAATCAGGAAAGCTCCCATTCCTGCTTTTATGAGAAATATGCAAAAGGTTTATTATTTCTTACCCATGACACCACTCTGCCGTTGAAACATGGCAACTTGGCACTGTCATCAGAAATCTCTTCTTTCACCACCCTGAAAAACAGAGACAGAGCGAGGTTTAGGACGTATAAATTGTTCTGCCGTCATAACTTTCTGGCATGGTATGTGGTATCTGGATGGTACAGTGGAGCGGAGGAATGAAGGAGGGGAAACTATACCATGGATATGGTGTAGTCATAAAGAAAAGGGCGAAACTGCAGGAGAATTGAATGCTTTACATTACTAGCACATCACATAAAATGTATTAGACTGAAATAAATCAAATACCAGGATTATTTGACATTTTCTTTAGTGTGGGCTATAAACGATCAGTCTGTCACATATAACACAACAGCGGAAGATTTAAGGAAAATGAAAGGAGGTGTGTAATCAAATCCACCCTCCCAGTTAAAATAAATTCCGACAGATAAAATATTTTGTTTGTTTTTGGTTAATCGAACAAATTAAAAACCTGATGAATCAAAGCACTTTATCACAAGACAAATGTGACATGAATAAACCATTTTACAGATTGTTGTGTGTATTTGTGTTTTGTCACCCTTGCTTATTAACACCTTGATATTGTTTTACTTATCATTTGTACTTTTGTGACTTCTATGTTTCTTTGTCCATGTTTCCATACGTCATACAGTCACGTCATTAATTCAGTGAAATTATGTTATGTTATATGTCCTAACTTCTCTATGCTCTCCACTGGTCTACAGCTTCTATTTTCTGTTTTCACCTTTTATTCCTTGTGACGGATTTCCCTGTGTGTTAATCAATAAAGTTCTTTATTTTGCTTTGGAACCATTCACTCATCTTGCTTCAATCTGCATGATAAAACACAAAATCTCTTAGTAATGAATGTACAATTACATGACTGGGATTATACTCAGATATAATAGCATTACCATAAGACCACCCACGCCTCAGCAGAGTCGATATCAAACTCAAGAACAAATCCAATTAATTTGTTTCCTCTGGAACCCAAGAGACGCAATGGGATTTCTTCTGTCTCGGCGATGAGCTAAATAAACACACTTTTACTGCTTTTGTGCCTCCTTGCAAATTACGCAACCTGGTCACTGAATATATATGCAAACATAACCCAGTCTCTACATGGGCCAAAGCTCCTCAAAGGTAGCCCCAACCGTCTGGCTCCCTCCTCCATGTTTGTCAGAAAGGCAAACATTGGGCTACAGCTGTGTTATCCCCCCCAGTAGACTGCCAGTACATTGTTACAGAAGTTTGTCTGGACCGGGGCCGGGTATGAGTTCCACTTCTCCAAAAAACCTTCAAAAGTTTTGTTTTTCCAGCTTCATCTTACAAGCTCCTTTCCTGCGTGTGAGACTTGGTCAAGGTCCACTAGGCTTTCGTAAGCAGCTGTTGAGAGCTGGTTTTGTGGCTGAGTGTTAGCATACAGCCAGATTGTTGTGGGCACTGGAGGGGAGCCGGTGTGGAGTTTTGAATGCGGCATGTACGGCTACTGCACTTTAAGCTAGCAAACAAATATTTCCCCCTCCTCGTACGCTGCGAGAGGCTGCACCTCCACGGCGGATGAACACATGCAACATTCTTCTCTTGAGAGTGTAATTGTCTTCATTCCTCAGCGCTCCAAACAAACAAGAGACCACAGTTGATTATTTCATGCACACTCTAAAATACCTCAAACAATGCACAAGGAGCCCTGAAATATGCTGAGTCCAGTTGGGTTTGCTAAAACCTTTAAAAGTTCACCCCCACTTCCCTTTTCCCCGGTCCCTCGATACCATTAAATTCCTCACACCCTCCACCGCATCTCATTTCTTATAATTAATCTTATTGAAACAACTCGCTGAGCGCCCCGCCCCCATACCAGCACATGAACACAGCAGAATATCAAATAACTTCTAGTGAACACCAGCCCTCTCCTTCTCTTCTTCCTTCTCCCCGTGGACAACCCCAGAAACCTAGCAAATGGCCTCTGTCCAGCCTCTGGTTCCCAGCATCGGTGCTGCTGCACGGACACCCCCCCCTCCTCCTCACTGCCACACACACAGCTCTGCTCGACAGCTGGCCTCGTACCAGGGCAAATGAAAACATACACTATTACACACTCCTCTCCTGAGTAGGAAAAGGAGAGGAGAAGGGGGGGGGGTGTGCCTGCTTTGATTGGACAGCTGACTCAGAGCTATGTTTGAAACGTTTTCATCTGAACTCAGCTGGAGATATATTCAAATGAGGGCGTGAGATGCCAGGCTGGGCGATGTAAAAACCAAAAAAACGGGGAAATTTTCTGCCAAATTCACGTTGAAAGACTTTTTACTTGCTCTGTGGACAGAGTTTGGCACGGGTGGCTCATCTGAGATGTGGACATTTTGCCTTTGGAAAAACACTGACGTGCTGTGCTCACTTTCGGGCGTCCAGAAACTTAACGTAATAACGTCCAGTCACACAGGCTCCAAATTGACAGGAAATGACACCGGTGACTGTGGTGAGGCTATAATCAAGTTTAAATAATAGAGACCATTTGATTCCTCGTAACAGTTGCAGACATTAGCATCGCAGTTTACGCAGTCGTCAGTCGATTGTGTAAACTTGGTTAAAAGTAATATAGACTAATATAACGATGTTTCAGAGAATTCAATCTTCATGAAGGTTATAGTGTTGTTTTTGTTGCAACTCTTTTGAAAGTGGCACTAATTTAACTTTGATTATTTTGAATGTTCTGATGTGCATCTGTTATTTAATCTGCCCTCATTAATATAAATGGCAGAGACATTGTCTATCTGTAGAAACAACATTGAACTGGAGCAGATTGTGAGAAGAATGTTCTGTTTATAGCTCATCGACACTGGCGTCAGCCCTTATCGTCAAAAACTCTATAGAGTCTCGTTGTCCATTCATGTTGACATCTTTGACTGCTTCTTCTAAGCATATAACACCTCATTTCATCCTGAGATATTTGTATTCTTCCAGTTTCGCATGTTACGTCATTTTCAGATATTCTCGGGACAGAGAATGTGTTCTTGCAGTTCTGGGTCTGCGGCATGTTAGAAACCTCATCAACAGGCCGACTCGCGTTCACATTTTCTCGACAATTTACTAGAGGGCTGGCAGGAAAAGTTTTGGAAAATGTCCAGAGCAACTGACTCGGACATTTGTGTTCTCATATACAGCCCCTCCAGAAAATGTCTGGACTTCAGTGCACATCTGGAAGCAGCTTCAGTCCAACAAAAAATGATTCTGTTATTATTCAGACAATTACTTGTTTAAATCATTTTGTGATGATTTTGGTTTCTTCCCTTCATTTTTTTTCTATGTCAAATTGATCTCTCTATGTTTCCGACTAAGGTTTGAACCAAATGAGTCACCTGAAATTGTCACCTAGGACTCTGGGAATTTGAAATGTGCATTTCCCCCCAAAATTCTCAGCATAGGCTACAGAGATTTCTTCTTTAGGGCTACACAGGATTTGTTTCATTGTCTATTAGTGTGTTACTTGTCAGACATTTGGCAGAGTCCAAAAACAAATCCCCATAGCCAAAAAGGATGTCGTAACATGGCGTAGTGGTCTGGGCAAGCACCATTCATCATGATGCAGCTCACTTCACTTGATAAACTGTATGTTTACTTGGACAAAATGGCTTTTAATCCCATGTTTAATCATTTTAGATAACCCACAGTCAGGTGTTAAGTATTTTAAAAGGCACATTTAATAGGTTTTCTAACGCAAATATCTCTTCAAGTCAGTTATTTATGTTACTTCAATTAACATTTAGCAGTACCCGCCCACAAAAAGCATCTCATCCATTTCATCTCAGTGTTGCAGAGTTGATATTGCTGCTCAGCTTGGCACAGGTTTCAACGGTGCCATCCAAAGAGAAAAAAGAGGCAAACAGCCCAGGCGTAATGCTCATTCAAGACTACAATGCATTTAACAGAAGCCCTGAGGGTCTCACTGGGTGAATAAACCACCAACATGCATTCCTCTGCAGGAAAAATGCACAGCAGCAACACAGGAAAAAAAGATTAATTGATAGAGGAGAGGAGACAGCTCTTTCTGGAGGAGAAAGGGGGGGAGAGGGATGGGAGGAAGCCAGGGAATCAAAGGATGGCTAGCAGGCCAAAGTGTTAAAGAGGGGGGGACAAAACCCTGGCTTGAGCCCTGAAAGAAAGAAAAGGCGAGGATTTCACAAGATGATGGACTGAAGGAGGGAGGGAGGGATGAGGATTAGGGTGAAGAAAGGCAGCAGGGACAGGGAATGCCTCCCATTGTAATGATGATGTTTTCTAAGAAATGCCCCGGCCTAAATACCCCCAGTATTTATAGAAGCACTCAGCATATTCATCGGCAGTGATTATAACTCTGCTGTTTGTGATTGGGGTGTGTTTTGTTGAATGGGGATTGGGTTGACTTCAGCGTGTTTGCTGTAAGTTATTACCTGTGACGAATACACGACAGCCGGTCACGGGATAGAATTGCAGGAGATTTGACAAGTAAAACCACATATTTCTTTAAAGACAGATATTTTGTTAGTTTTAATCTAAGCTTCAGTTGAAGTGCTTCTATTAAGAAAATAAGGGCACCTCATAATGGATCGTTATCCTAACTTTTGTCATATGTATCTGTACTAAATATCAGGTGTCTACTGGATTTCTCTAGGATTAATCAGTCATCATTTTGCATGCAAACCACCAAGTATTGTTAGTTTTTTTTAAGTAAAGCTAAGTGAGAGTGGCTCTGTTAAGAAAATAATGGCACATTGTAAAGGGATTGTTGTCACATATGTCTGTACTAGATATGAGGAGTTAACAGAACTTCTACCAGGTTTTATCAGCCAACATATTTTGAGTGAACCAGCAGCATGGTTAGGTTATAAAGTACTGCTGTGACATGTATACAAAGTAGGAGGTGTTCTTCTATATCATGTTTTATTAGCTCTCATTGTGCACGCAAACCACGAGTATTCTTAGTTTATAGTCGGGTTATGTTAAAAGGTAAATCAAAGGCACATTATAAGGAGTTGTTTTCACGTATCTGCACCAAATGGGATGTTTTATCAGCCCTCCCTTTGCAAGCAAACCCCTGACACGGTTAGTTTTTAAGTTAGGCCAAGTTAAAGAGCTTCTATTGGGAAAGGTATTGCACATTATAAAGTATTGTTTTCTCATCTGGGTAACGTCATTCTGCAAGCTAACCATGGAGCATTGTTCGTTTTAGGTCCGGCTTAGTTAAAGAGCTTCTACTCAGGAAAAAAAAATGGCACATTGGTAAAAGATTGTTTCCAACTCTTGTCACACGCATCAACATTTATCAGCCCTGATTTTTGCATGCAAACCACACAGGCTGGGGGGAAATCAGCGGCGCTCACCCGAAGTCCTGGTCCATAGACTTGAAGAAGAATTTGTAGTTGGGTTTGTTCAGGACCTGCTTAAAATCCAGCAAAGTGATATTTTCGGCAGCGATGGGAATCTTCACCAAATACGGCGTCTCCTCTTCGTCGATGTGATAAATTATTTTGGTTTCCGCCATCGCTGCGGTTGCTTTTCCTTTTTCCCCCCACCTCACCTTCCCCGAAGCTGGGAGTCACCACGAGAAACAGAGACCGAGAGGCGAGGCGGCGATAACTTTGTTGCGGAGTTAGCTCGCTAAGCTAGCTCGGTGGCTAACGAGACGGCAGAGGTGAAACGATGATGGCCACTGGGGTTTTTTTTTTTTTTTTTTTTCTCCTCGGTCCGAGCCGGAGGAGGTTACAGCGTGAAAACAGGAGAAACTCCGCCGGGAAAAGCTCGATGTCCGTCCGACTTCACCGAGCCGAACACTCCGCAGTCCCCCTGGTACCGAGGGGACACGCTGCCTTCACACGACCGGACCACCGACTTCTTTTCCCCCAACAAAAACACACAGGGGAGGGGGTCCGAAAACTTTTCTCCACTGCATGCGAGCCAACGCGGCGTGTGACGTCAGCACGTAGCCCCCTCTCCTCTTACGCACTTTCCCCAAGCCTCCAACTTTTTCATTATTATCACATCATTTATTTTTGAATTATGTAAACGTGGAGATTATAGAAATGACCATCTTTCTATAGATTAGATAGACAACAGCGATAGATAGAGAGATATATAGAGAGAGAATTAAATAGACTGATAGAGAGAGTAATAAATAGACAGATAGAAAACAGAGATAGGTAGACAGATAGATAGAGAGATATATAGAGAGAGAATTAAATAGACAGATAGAGAGAGTAATAAATAGACAGATATAAAAANAGACAGATATAAAAACAGAGATAGGTAGACAGATAGATAGATATATAGAGAGAGAATTAAATAGACAGATAGAGAGAGTAATAAATAGACAGATAGAAAACAGAGATAGGTAGACAGATAGATAGATATAGAGGGAGATAAATAGAAAGATACAGAGAGTATTACAGTAAATAGATAAATAGAAAACAGAGAGAGAGAGCGATAGAGGGAGAGAGAAATAGACAGATAGACAGAGAATTAAATAGATGGATAGAAAACAGAGACAGACAGACAGATAGATGGATGTACTTTATTAATCCCTGATTGGGAAATTGTAAATGATGTAACACACAACTATATAAGCTATTGGCTATGATGGATGTTTTTATCACTGATGTCCCTGATGGATATTGATGTTATGGCTAAACAAACAGAAGATTAAACTTTGAGCAAACAGTGGATAACTTGGGCTATATAATGATAAGAAACTTCCTCCTTTTATTGTTTTACTTATTGAATATCTTTAAAAGGACTCTGTGTTATAAAATGTAAAGCTTAACAAGCATTCACTGATGACACCACAAGAATGTGCAAAGGGACTCGGTATTTCAATTGTGAAGTTCTGTTCTCATGCAGTTAATAGTAAAGTAGATGTACCATGGTCTACAAAAATCATCTCTTCTAATAGGCAGCTGTTTGAACTCATTAAACAGGGTTAGATCATTTAAAAATGTAATCAAACAAACATTACAGAACATATCCACACAGAACAATACAGACAAAAGTGCACACAAACACACAGAGGAAAGCACAATAAGCTTATAACCACTTAACTTAAACTAGAAATAGTTTATAAATAGCCTATGAAGGGCCACAGATAAGGTGTAACATAACAAGGTTGGACACACTGCTCCATTGAAAGTTGTTTTGAAGAACGTCCGTGTCACATATGATTGAAACGCATTCTTTATTTAACAAATACACACACGGTCTTTCTCACACACACAAACACACATACACTCCACTATTATTTACCTGCCCTAGTTTTCTGTAATCTGCAATAAACACACTTGACGCAGTGCCAATGTGTTACGAAAGCCATTTTTATTTTATTCAATAACGGTACAATCATCAGCTGTGGTAGATAATGACATCATTAAACAGGGAAAAACTGCAAACAACAATGAAATGAACAATAAATAATAAACTTCAGAGAGAATAACGATTGACAAAATATTAAATATCATTTATTATTTGTGTGAGCTTAGTTTATCCATTTCCATATCAACCACTAGAGGACACTCTTCATCAATCTATTATTCACAAAAGAGCAACAAATATTCAGGGCAGTGATTAAGGACGGGTAAAAATGGTGATTTGGCCTCGTGAAGAGTGAACAGCAAAGACAGAGGTGAAAAATATATTCGTAAAATAATGACTGAAAAACACATGTTCTTTAATGAGATCAATAATTTCCCATTTCAAACATGAACCTATGTATTTCACATTAAAGTTTGTTGTTTAAGAAATGTGGCCCAAACACCACCCCGACCACGCAGGTGATGACAAACAGCACCCAGAAGATGATGGCCAGCAGCTGCACACAGAACAGTGTCTTCTTGCTGTGCTCTATGACCTCGTCCTCGCCCACCAGGCCTGGTGCCATGCCGTACGGCCTGTCCGGGTGCATCTGCTGCACCCGCAGGCTCACAGTGGGTAGGATGATGAAGCGGGTGTCCCTGCTCTCGCCCTCCAGGGAGACCACCACTCTCTGGGTGACTGTGGCCAGGCGGGTTGCCATGGTCACAGGCAGGCGGAAGGCCAAGGGGGGCAGCCTGGCCAGGATGCGAGAGTTGGAGGGTAAGGACAGGGGATCCCCAGATGCCAGAGGGGTCAGGTGGCGGCACAAGGGGCAGGGGATGGCTGGTGGGCTGCGGGGGTCCAGTGGCTCGTAACGGCTGAGCTGGATCCTCTGGAGGCACTCTGTGCAAAATACATGGAGGCACTCCAGCACGCGGGGACATTTGTTGAACTGGTTGTACTCCTGGTAGCAGATGGGACACTCCACATCCATGGGCTCCCCAGGGGTGGGTGCAGCTGCGGCAGCTGGGCAGCTCTGCTGGGGAGCTGGGACAACATCCCCTGTCATGGTGGGAGGGAGGCTGAGTGGAGTTGGCTTGGGAGCTCAGTGATGGCAAGATGAAAGTTGTAGATTAATGTTTAATTGATGCGGGGAAATCTGTAAAATGAAAAAAACTTCAAGATCAACTTTGAGTCTGAGCGTCAGAGACCTCCAGAAGCTGGAGTGGATTTAAAAACAACAGCATCTGCTCCCCCAGGGATGTTGATGTGTTCCTTCTACGTTTTATTAACAGATTCCACAGCCTGTGAGTCATAGCAGTTATCTAGTTAACCACTCCAACCATCAACCCCCTCTCCCAGCCCCTCAAACTCACAGTCACCCCTGCTCTGTGTAGTGTGTGCTGGCCTACACGTCACAATCTGAGCGAATCCAGGAAGTTAGGAGATCAAAACAGCAGAGGAACTGTGAAGGGAAGTAATAAGGCACTCAGTGTTTCTGAGCACACCGGTGACTCACCAAGGATCTTTAGAGAGGACACAACTCTGACACGTTGAACGAATTTAAAGCTGAACCAACCAGATTTACAGTCTTGTGTCTCTCTTTACGTCGTGTCAAATAAAAATACAAAAATACGCATAAAACTTTTTTCATTTGATAACTGTAATAACAGCCTCAAATAGAAGCCTGTTTCAGCTGTCAACCAGGATGTTTCACACAGTTTGTATTGCATCAAATAAGGTGTGATGACAACTACATAAAATGACAGAAACCATCTTTAAGGAAAAACTAATGGAATTATACTTTGACATCTTTGTTTGGCTTATGTCTCATCTGCTAACATGGAGGAGGTAGGGTTAATGTCCTTTGTTAGAGCCTTGTCGATCATCTTTATCTACAGTCTATGGGTTTAAAACAATAACCACTTACTTATACTGCGGGAGGGATTGCAGTCCATTAAAAGAACATTGTTTTCTGCTAGGAAAAAGAACACAAAAAAAGGTTTCCCATAATATCATTGACCCAACTATCGACCCCGGGCTTCCTCCCTCTGTTGGCTGACACTTTATGTGACTTATTATTTCCTCCATTGTTCACGGAAGAAGAAATAGTCAGAACTCATCCGGCCATTTGGGGGCTTTGTCAACAAACAAAATACAATTTTACATCGGGGCAGTTGTTGAAAACAAGTGATGCACTTGTTTTTCTTGGGAGGACAATATTCAGCAAAATATGAAAAAGCAAAAGTGGAAAATAAGTTGCAGTTTTCTGTAGTAGATTTTATTAACTAGCTGTTTTATAGCATTAATGCTAAGTTAACTGGCAAAGCTAGGTTTTAATTAGATAGAGAGATATGACAACTATGGTATCTATCTTTGAGACTTGTCCCACGAAAGAAAAACAAGGGTGTCACTTGTTTCAGGAAATGTTCCAAAGAGATGTGTGTTCGTGTTCGATGACAAAGCCCCTTAGTGGCCGGAGGAATTCTGACTACTGTCTGTTGGGAACAGATGAGGAAATAGTGAGTTCCATAAAGTGACGGCATGCAGAGAGAGGGCGTCAGAGCCGAATTTGCTGGACGAAATGTTGGACTTTAGCAAAGGTTACCTCATAATGTTTCTTATTTCCTAGCAAGGGACAGACAGTGGTTGATAATCGTCTAACTCTGTGAGTTGATGCTGATTCATATTTTCACTTGGCACAAAAGCCATGTCTGAAAGTTTGTTTCGTAAACTTTAATAACATCATTGGATTTGTATTTGTTGTGTGGACACATTTCTGTCTGTGGCTCACACGGGACCATAAGGAAACCCATGTTGCCTCATCTGGGATTGTTGCTTAGCAGACGGGGTCTCCTTTGGATTGGTCCTTGACATCAACATGATACCTGAAACCTTTTCTCAGTAAAAACAATAGTTATGTTATCAGTGCTAAAAAGGTGGTTAAATACAGCAACAGTAAGGATTTGGTTTTACCAAAAGAAAACATAATATATCTAATTAAAAACAAGCTTTGAAAGAGAAACGCTGGCACCAGCTCTGGATTGTTGCTTTGTGTAAACAACTGAGCCCTCCTGTGTCTTGTATCTATGTCGGCCACCAGTTTCGGTCAGATTATGGCAGCGCTCCATTATTATACACAGAGAAGCAGATAAGAGATGCACTTACCCTCCACACACACACTCCTTTGATCAGAGCACACTTTGATGCCCACTTCCTCTCACACTTCTTCTTCACATGTTGGTGCAGATCTCATCCTGGCAGAGATTCGTCCTCCCTCTATGTCTTGTGAGCAAATTAGCCGCTCAAATTTCTGCCTTAATACTCTGCAGCTACGTGCCTAAGCCTGGCTCGCTTGTATCCTCCTGTTTTCACTCCGTCTCAACTGATTTTACTCATCCCTGTCTCTCTGTCTGATCTCCCATGAGGCCTCTCTCTGCGGTTTCATGAGCGTTAATTAAACCCTTGGTGATCTGAGCGTAACCAAACAGAAAATGACAGACTGCTCTGGCAAATCTTACTCTACGTGTGCCATACATTATTACGCTTCCTCACTGTCAGCATGTTGGGTCTTTATATTAGCAAAACCTGGATTAGGGTGTAATTACTAATATTTTTCTATGTTTTAAGTCAAGTTAATGATGTGGAAAATAGTAATTTTACAAACTAAAGGGATCACATTTTTTACATTCTAGTGCATGTCAGGAAAGGTAAATAAGCTGCGGGGGCAGAAAAGGGCAGTACACTGTGTGTGTGTCGGGGGGGTATTCAGAACAGAGTGAATGTTCCTCTCAAGTGTAAAGAGGTGAATTATTGACAGATAAATAAAGTCACATGAGTCAGAGCCTGTATACGAGCGTGTGTGTGGCACTCTGAATGATTTTCTTGTCTTCAGTTTGGCCTGTGCAGGCTTGTTGAATGCCTACGCTTCTATTTTCACTGTCATTATTTGTTACACACGGTCAGACTGAAAGTTAAAAAAACGGAGGGTTTTTTACCTTCTTTACTTGTGATGGGAGGCCAGACAGATTTCTAATCGATTTAATGGGAAATATGAAAGAGGGAATGCGATTACATTGAGTTCCGCTGTGGTTACGTGTGGTTAAGTCTCATGTTGTGTGACAGATTCTTCAAGTTTATGAAAGAATTAGAATTAAACGGTCCTTCATGGGTTGAGAAAGTTTTACCCTCACCACTTAAAACATTTAAATCTCATGTCTTAAAGTATAAAAGAAGGAGCTTCAATGCTTCCTAACTAATTCCCTTTAGCGTAGGAAACATTTTAACTGACACAACCTCATAGTTGCACCAGGACAAACCAGTCAGGAGTCACATAAACCACAATCATGATGGATTTATAGTTCACAACATTATCATCAAAACTAAAGATTATGCTTTCTTTTATTTAATTAAAATGAAATCTGTTATGTTGTTATTTCCTATGATTCAGTGAGGATTCAATTTTCACTCTGTATGAACTGAAAACTTCTTTTTCTCAAAACGTGTCATTCTGTTTTAGACGGGAAACACTATTATAACTGTCAGCACATATTACTGTACATTTGTAGGTATCACCTTTTACATTATAAAGATGTCGTAAAAAAAAACAAGATGACGTTTGGACTTGTAGAATAAAAAGCAGGTGTAAAAAATTATGTTAAAACACAACTCAAACCATGAGAGTGTGACAATGAGCAGGCAGGAACAACTGAAGCAGTTAAATGGAATTCAGCTATCATGCATTTTATTTATATCTTGGATTTTCCTACTGTGACATGTTGAGACATGTAAGAAATTCATCATCGCTTCAAGCTTAAACAAGGTTTCACTACGTCACGAAGAAAAACAAACAGTAGCAGTAACGAAAGGAATTACTGCACAACATTCATCGTCACACAAACAAACCACACTGTTAGAGAGGACACTGAATAAATTCATTGGAGATGTTACTGGAACTGTGGACATTTTTCTTCCTGTAATGCTCTCTTCACTTTTTGGAAATGTTTTATTTTTAACCTTGATTCTGGTTGAAAAGCTGTTTTTGATTAACCTGACACAGTTACAGTAAGCAACAAAAGAAAACAAAAACCAGGAAGGCCTGAAACCCACATAATCAAGAGAAAATACACACACACACACAATCAGGGCAAGAGAGGGAGTCAAGATTTCAGCGGAAATCCCCATGAAAGGAGTTCAAGTTGGAACAATTGCAAGCAGCAGGAAGAGGTTGTCTGGGGATTACCATCGAGAGGGAGGACCTGACACGACGTCATACCTCACACACACCCTCACACGTCAGGGAGGGCGACGAGGGCTGAAACCTGTATCACAAAGTCCAGTTACAATAAACTGGAGGGAATCTGAAGAAGGGACTGGATTCCTCACTTTTACTTCTTTTAAAAAAACTTCCTCGAAAGACTTTCTTTAAAGCCTGCTTCTCCTCCTGATGCCTGGTCATGTGTTGTCATTATCAGTGTCACTGGCTGTGGGATTGTGTTTGTGAGGGAATGAATGATTCAGAAATTAAAACCAACATGATGTGTTTAATTTGGAGATACACATGTGGAGGTGTGTTTTTGTTTGTATCCCTGTGAGTGTGTGTGTGTGTGTTGACATTGTGAGGACATTTTGCTCATACACATAGTGTTGTTTGAGGGTTAAGACTTCAGTTTAGCAACCAGGCTAGAATTAGGCTTAGGTTAGGGTTAGAATAAGGTTTTTGTGAAGGTTAGAATAGGTTCGTTTTAGGATTAGAATTAGGGGTCATTGAGGACCACTGTCCCAGTTTGTGTCAGAAAAACTAGTAAAAGTAAATAAACTGAACAGGGCATTGTGTGTGTGTGTCATCACACGTATTGAGAGTCTGGTGACTCACTCAGACTTGGCCAATAATCAAACCCAGTCCCTCCCACGCTCTGATGTATAAATGTGCAGCTCACGGACTGTGACTCATTCATTCAACCCACTGCAGCAACACTCAGCACCATGTACTCACACATCGAGTGCGGGATCTGTTACCGGACCTACAACGCCGGTCGCCGGTGTCCCCGGGAGCTCCGCTGCTGTCACACCTTCTGCGAGGGCTGCCTCCTGGCTCTGTCCCGGCCCGGCGAGGGAAGCCCGGGGGCGGATACTTCGATCCTCTGCCCGTTGTGCAGACACAGCACCTCCATCTCCTGCCAGGGGAGGATCAGATCGGAGCTCAGGGTGGATGAGGGCGTCCTGGCTCGGCTGATGGAGGCTGGGGTGCTCGATCAAGAGGAAGAGGAGGAGGAGGAGGAGGAGGACCCGGTGAAGGACCCGGAGGAGGCTCCAGACCAAGACGAGGGGGCGACGCTCCAGGTGACTCAAGCCGAGGAGAGCGACTCTTCCGCGGTCTCCAGAGGCGGGAGGCTCCGGCGGTCCTGGAAGAAAGTTTGGAGGGTGATCAGCGGGAAGAGCTTACAGCAGGGCGGTGGACAAAGTGAGTAGACACTGTATTAGTTCATGGTTCATATAGTTTTACAAGATTATATTATTATTATCATTATTATTGACATCAGTAAGAGATGTTGAGTTGTCATTGTTATCAATTTTGAAAAAAAAAAGTTCCTTGTTCAACACGTTTGTAAATACAAATTCTTAACAATTTGTCATATTAATTGTTGAGGTAGTCAGTTTATTTTAAAATGAGTACTTTTTGAACAGGGTTTGGTGACTTTAAAGATCACAAGTAAAAGTTTTTGTGTCTATTAAAGACTGTGATGTTTACAAAATAAGCTACAGATAGCTTAGCACTACTATCACAACTTAAAATGTAAAAATAATGACTAAATCTGTGTCTAACATGTGTCCTCCCTTCTTCCAACAGACTGTATGACCAGCGATGACTTGAGGAACCTCGCCATGATGTCCTGCTACATGCTCTGAGCTGTCCACATCCTCACTTACCCTAGAAACAATGTGATACTTCCCTGCCTATACTGTATTTACTTTGAAATGTTCTTCCTGCCTACATGGACCGATGATGACGACCACAATGATGATGAATACTGCCAAGACACATGAACAAGATGATTTCAGCGTTCTGACTGCCTGTTAAATTGTTAAAAGCTATGTTGATGTTGCACTCAAATAGGAGAACAAATGGAAAACCTGTGAATGGCCAAAGTGGCCCACAAATTTATGTGATATTTATTCTTTTTATAAAGGTATTTATTGCACGTTCTTTATATATATTTTTAAGGAAAAATAAATGAGCTCTGGTTTCAATTATGATGATTTCTGTGGCTTCATGTTGTGTGTTGGGTGAGTCAGCGGGTGCAACACTCAAGTCTAGACTAGAGTTGTTCTGGGTGTGCAAATGTATAATGAAAAAAATATTTCCATAATACCTGGCACTGATTAAAATCATACTGTAGAGAGAGAAATTCACGTAAGATGCCAAAACGAGCCTCATAATAAAAGAAAACTTAGGATATATACATAAAAGCAGAGGAAAGGATCTCTAAGATTTAAAGAAACTATGAAGTCTTCTGCCTCCAGCCCCCCTGTGAACCCTCTGAGTTCACAGATCACATGATGTGTGTTGTATGTATTTGGGTCCAAAAGGTTGATATACCATGTCAAAAATTATAAATAATTGTCTGGTCATATAGGCAATGTTGTGCAGAAAAAGAGGATACCAAACATCGACCTTTTTCTAATATGGTACATAAAAGCAAAATCACTCCTAAGAGTTAAAAAGAAGTGATATATGGATGGATACATTTTCTACATTAAAGGGGCTGAAACAGGAAAAGTAATCTTCACAGACCGCTCCAGGAAGTGGGTTACCAGAGACCAGGTGACCGGCGTTGCCTCCAATCAGACTCAACCAGCAGCAGAGCTCCTCAACAGCTCCTTTGTTTGACGAGTAAAATACATGGATCCACAAAACTTCCGTGACTAATACTAAGATCTTTTGCGGGTCATATAAATCTGGGAGGAAGTGTAAACCATGTCAGGAAATCTTGCCCCTCACTCAAGGTAAACATCACATTTTTGCGCAGGCAACCACAAAAGTGGAAACAGTGGGATTCTCCTACATCACAGTGATACTCCTTTCTGTCTCTTTTTTCCACAGACATGTGTTTTCCTCACTGTGGCTCTGTGCAGCCGTCCTGTTGTTTATCATGTGTTCGGATGCTGCGAGAGGTGAGAGTCAACAGACCAGTATCTGCCAAGACCAAAACCACAGAGTCAGCAGTTTCACAGGCCTTTTACCGGGCATACTTATGCTTTTCCAGGACGTGACACGAATAATGCAGAGATAAGGAGTTTCATATATATACACACACACATATGTATATGTAAAGCACCTGTTCAATATTTAGCTCAATTTAAGCTAATTTGATTTACAATATTTATAAATATATATTTTTTTTGTAAAAAAAAAAGATAATGTCAAAGTAAAATCTAAACATTGAATTTAATCCTACATGTAAAATGTTAAATTTAAACATGGAATTTCAGACCTTAATGTTAAATGTTTAGCATATATAATGTATACGTGTTTGTAGTAAAATCACAGCAACTTATTGTAAAGAAATTTGATTCCCTGGTGTCGTAAATTTACCGATTAAGTGTATAAAATAAGGGTAAAATGTCAAATTGTGGTGCTGAATATAAGATCATTTGTGATAAAGTGAAGTAACTGCAAAGAATTATACTTTAAACCAGATTTTTCTTTTGTAGTTTATAAGTGATACCACAAATATAAGGAACAAAACATTTTATTATATTTTCCCTATTCTTTTTCAGCTTCAGCCAGTCCCATATCAACCCAAGCAAATAGTGGAGTGAGGCCGAACATCCTGAGCTCACTGTTTCCTCCAAGCAACCCACACCACCCCCTCTCCACTGGTCGACTGCCACCTGAACCTGGAACTAATAGTGGAACTGAGATGAGCAGGAAATCTGGAGAAGCTTTGTCAATCACCAACCATCAATCAAACCCTCCGTGGTTTACAGGAGGCGTCTTTAGTTACAATCCAAACAGCCCGGACTGGAGACAACACAGCCGAGGAGGAATAATCAGAGCTCAGAGGGGTCACAGTTCAGGTGGAGCGAGGCCGGCGAGCGAGAGTTTCATCAGTCACCCTGAGCAGGGAGGACAGAGCGCGGAGAGACCACAATCCAGATTACATTACCAACCGCTCTCTCAGAAAGTAACACAAAGTGGAAATTCAAACCCAACAATTGTTAGAGTATCATCTCAAAATCAAATGTGGGATCCAAGAGATGCTCAGAAATCTTACAATGAAGAAAAAGTTCCTAGAAACGATAAAATATCTTGGGTATCACAGCCTGGTGAATACTGGAGTAATTCACCATCAACTCTGAGAGCTCATCACGGCGGCGATAAAGAGATGGATCAGCTTTCTGCGGTTAGAGTGCAGAGCACATCTAACAGGATTCAATCTAGTAAATTTTTTGGCTCTGCAAGTCAAACCGCCTCTCGTGCACCATCAACCAGTGCAGCCTTGGACACATCTGCTTTTCGAATAAACCCCAGGTCAGAAAAAGTGGCCCAGACACTGTCCGTCACAGATTTCTCCATGAAGCTGAACTCGATGACAACTGGTGAGACGTCAAGACCCAAAATGGTGCAGTCATATCTCTTCAAGGACTCCCAGGCCTCATCTATGGTAAGAGGTGATGAGCAACAAGCCATGGCAACAATGCCACAGAAGCAGATGGCTTCCGACGCTCAAATTCACAGCAGATTTGCTTCGACTTTTGAAAAATTACTCAGAAACGATGCGATAAAGGAAAATGATGCCAATCCGCTGAATCTCAACAAGAACATGGGTCAGTATGGAGCTCAGATGGACAATTTTAAGACATATCAACCTGTCTCCAGCACGTATCCTCCTGCTCAACCCCCTCTGCATCCTGCTTCAGGCAAAGGAAGGACTCTGGAGAGGTTTATCCCTGCTCCTCTTGCTATTTCCCAGGATAACTATGCCACAAGCAGAGAGAAATATCCGGCAGGACGCTCAGTATCAACTGCAAGAGGGTCTGCACATGGTTACAAACCAGATAGATCCACAAAAAGCATCTATGGCTTGAGCGGGTTTGAAAATTGGAGGTCCAACTCTGGGAAATACAGCTTCAACAAAGTAAGGATCCAAGCCACAACTGTTTCTCCTCCAAGGCTGTTCACATCAGGTCGTAAAGACGTCCAACCTCTGCTGCCTGAAAGCGACGCCAGTACGGACGTGGACCCAAATCCCACCTGGATCACAAGCAAAATTATGTCTGGTTTTGACGCTCGACCACTTGAGGGAGCCAAACCTCCAGTTAGAGAACAAGACAGGCCCGCCACACACTGGCCAGGTGTTAATGTTGTGAGCTCGCAGACCTGGCAACCAAAAAGCAGCAGAAGTAACACATGGAAGAATAATAAAGAGGATTTTGAGGCAGAGAACCACAGCATATCAACACAAAGGCAAAAAGAAAAGAGCAGCGAAGATTTTAAACAAAAGTCTGAGCACAGCAGATTTACACCAGAAAAATATAAAAAGAAACACAGCATCTACACTTTTATGGGGTTTCAGTCCCTTCAAGACAGAATTGGAAGCCCACACTGGAATTACACAACTGTGGCACGACCAACTGGCATAGTTTCCTCATCTTATCTCCGATCAGCTGCAGGCCTCCACCTTGAATCCAGCCCAACGACACAGCCAACAACACACAAAACCAAACCTGTTACGATGAGGGCGAGGCAGTTCCACAAATCCCCCAGCAGCACGGTGATCGGGGAACATGTGCGAGCAGAAACCAATAAGAGTGGATCGTTTCCCACCAATGCAGCTATTGTCAGGCTGCCCAAGCTTCCCGTAAAGGTCGCTGTCACGTTCGCTGATATTCTTGGAAGTGCTTCATTCAAAGGTGTCAGAGCTACAACACAGACGCTGATGACACAAGCTGATAAAAAGGATTATTTTCCAAAGACCATGCAGGAAGAAGGGCGGGGTTCATGGACCTCTGACGACGGAGTGCAGAGCAGGACAAGAGGCGCCAAAGATGAGGTGGAAGATTTCAGCAGAAATGAGGAAAATGCGATGAAAACATTTGATGCTTTCCTGGATAACGAAGGAAGTGGAAGCGGGGCCTTTAATGTGTCTGATGTTTTGTCAGCTGACAGCCCACAGAGTCAGGGCCTCAGTGAAGATCTGCTGGAGTTAGATTATCTACGAACAGCGACAGGGAACATCTCCTTCAAGTCGGTGAAACTGTTCCAACCTGAGAAATGATGGAAAAGTGTTCAAAAGTTCTAATAAAAGCTGGAAATGTCACTGAGATTTGGTTCTTGGGTTCAAAATTATTCTCAATAATGCAAAATGATGAAATAAGTCATTTTCAAGATATTTTGTAGAAATATATATGATATTATTCAGACTCAGGGTCCAGATAAGAAATACAACACAAGTATATAGAATAACATGCAGACAAAAGATTAAAAAACATAAATGTCTAACAAAGAGAATAGCAATGCCTCTACAGCTAAATAAACATTTGATAGGAAGATTTCAATTTCATATCATTGATGCAGCAAATATCAATAAAGAATAGACTCCAGTGGTTTCATGAGTAATTATCTCATCAAACTTGCTTAATCATAAGGAATTTCAAGTTCGTTTTTCTGTAGTTTGACCACATGTGGGCAGTAAAGAGAATATATAGTTGCTAGATGAGCTTTAATCTGAGAACAGGCATTTAAAAAAAAAAAACATACAGTACATTTAAGATGGTAACACAAATAGCAACATAAGCATAAAATAAGGCTGCAGGATTTTGAATGTGAGGTTGTTAAATGATGGAATAAATGTATTTTAGCTGCAGTTCTGTCGTCCATCTTCAGTGTGAGACTCTATATGTGAAAATAAATCACTTCCTTGATATTTACTGAGCCTCTGTTCATTCATTGAAGTAGATGAAGCAAGAAAAACAGACGATAAAACACGGGGGGGGTTTCTGAGTCTGAAGTTCTGCCTCATTCTGGAAATTATTTGCATAACGTGAAGTCAAGCATGAAGAGAGAAGTGAAGCAAGGTCATACTCGAGGCTTTTTATAAATTGATTGTATTCCCATTCCTTGTGACCTCATTCCCAGGCAGCAGCCACTTCACTGTGCTGACACAGATTTTCCATCTGGGTTTCAGCAGCATGTTGGTCTCAACAAGTTGTTTAACATGCTGAGAGATGGGGGGAAAAAACATGATCTTCCAGTTTGTGAGAGGGTCTTTTTCTTACTCTGCTGAACCACTAAGACATTTAGATTCAGGTTTCATGTTTATTTGTCACGTGTAAGTTGAGACAGGGTCAATGGTACAATGGAAAATGTTGGACGAGGAGGACAGGTCAGCTCAGCAATGTCATATAGAGGATGTAAAGTAAGAAAAGAAAGAACGTTTATATAACGCAAAAGAATAGAATACTATAATACCAGAGGATGCAAGTGTAAAACCATTGTTGGACTTGAATAGTTTGGAGGCCTGGTGATAAAAGCTGTTCTTCAGTCTTAAATGATACATACAGTTAATTACTGAGAAAAACATTTACGTGGTTTGATCTTAAAGATTTGACCCACAGATAAAAAGTCTTTGGCTGGTATCACCAGAAAATGCTTTTTATAATCGTATCTGTTTTTAGAGATATGCATGTTCTCATCCAGAAGAAACCCAGAGATTTGTCATTCCTCAATTTGTCTTCTTTGGATTATTACGATTCTCTCTTCATTTGAAGTGAATGAACAATGTCAATTAACACTTTCTCTGACCTGATTTTGCGTTTACAGCAAAAGCAGATGTTCCACTAGATGGCGTCACTCACCCATTGTATTAGGATGTAACAGTCCTCGTGTGCTGCTGCTCCTGCATTAACTTTCAAGCTAAAACGTATTTACAAAACGAGCTCAAAGAGGACAGGATGATTGCAGAATTGTTGTTATGGATTCTGCTGTTTAAAATCTTAAATACATATAATTAAGTGCAAAGCTGACGTCTGAGCCAACCACATGTTCTGTTGCAGGGGGGCCTCGGGTCCACGCTGAGAGCCAGGATCCCCGCTCCCTAACAGGTCCATTCACACCAACCTGACCCTTCACCTTTTTCCCAGTCAGCCAGCTCCACCTAAATACCAAGCTCCGAGCTTGTCCTCAATCTTCAGGGCTGGAAGAGCATGGGGCCCCAAAGTGAGGAGGAGGAGGGTGGAAGGGTCAGCGAGGGAGTGAGGGGGGTTAGATCTGCCAGTCAAAGTTAAACACATTGTATTAACGACCCCTCCACCACCACCACCACCACCCGACAAATACCCGTGGAAAGCAGGAGCGTCCACTTTCCCAGAGGTCTGAGGAGGCATTAAGGTGATATGATGTTGTGTGCTGGCATGTCGGGGCCGTGGCCCTCGCCGGCACCTTCAAAGTTCTCCTCTTTCTCTCTGTGCTGCCTTTGGTGCTTGTGTGTGTCTGGTTCACACACACACACACACAGGCTTCTTTCCTGATGTGTGTATACTTGCTTATAAAAGTCCCCCCCAAGTGTGTGTGTGTGTGTGTGTGTGTGTGTGTGTGTGTGTGTGTGTGTGTGTGTGTGTGTGTGCGTTGATCACAGACAGTGTGGCATTCTCTTGCAAAAGCTGCCCCCACCTCACCCCCTCCTCTCCCACTGTGAGGGGAATTCTGTACCATGTGTCTGTGGCGTTCAGGGAGCTTTCAAGGAAAATAATGCACAGAGGCCTCTCACCCTCCTACATCACCACCACTCCCCCAAAATGCCCTCCTCCTCTTTCCTCCCCCTCTCATTTTCCCTCCCTCCCTCTCTTCCTCACCCCATGTGGCACTTTTTTTTTTTTTTTTTTACAGTTCTAACCTCCCCTTTTTCTCAGACCAGCCAGCAGAGCTAATTTCGTATGCAGCCTGTAATAAAGCTAAATCCATAATCACGGCAAACACTCTCTCATGAGGCGAGAAAGAGGGGGAGACAAGGGGGTGAGGGAAAGGGGGAACGAGGGAGAAGACAGAGAAAAGCTTTTTGTTTGGCTAAGTACACTATGTGAGGGAGGGGGCGTCGAGGAAAGGAGAGCTGGAAATACATTAGAAAAATGGTGGCGTCGCCTGTGGCATTTGTGTATCAGATTACCTCACATTCCACTGGGCGGACGGAACCTACATGCAGCGGAGCCCCTCGCTTTGACCATGACTGTGTGTGTAAACTAACTTTATTGAGTCTACACAGTGATTAACTTTGTCCTGAAAGCCTCGTACGGAAGGACGGAGGGAGGGAGGAGAAAGTTGGGAGGATTAACAGAAGCAGCTTGCAGCACACTGACTGTAATCCACAGCCTCGTTGGCTTGGTCTACATACAGAAGGTTTCCCTAAACTAAAACACCTGCAGCATGTGCTTCACTGCGGCTGCTTGTATGTGGAAAATAATTTAAACACAGAATCAGGCCTCACACGTGTCACTGCAAACACATTTCATGTATTATGGTTAACTTACGGCATCTGTCTGTCTGTCATTGTGTCCATGTCTCCATCTCATCTGCTACATAAGTGGGAATGTTCTATCCATCCATCCCACTCCCTATCTCTCTCTCTTTCTATCTCTCTATCTGTCTTTCTCTCTATCAATCTCTCCATCCATCCATACACATCTTTTCTTTCTCTTTCTGTCTCTATCTATCTATCTATCTATCTATCTATCTATGTGTGAATGGTGTGAAGGAATCATAGTGGGAGCATGGAGCAGTGCTGACATGTAAGTTTTCCCACATCTGCTGTGGGAGCAAAATCTATTTCCGTGTCATACATCCAGTGAGCTTCCTGTGGTCTGAGCAATGGAGGAAGTAATAAAGACAGGAAGACTTCCTGTATTGTTACCAACGTGCAACAGGACGGACTGTGCACGATCGGCAGGGCCAGAGCTCAGTGATTTAAACACCATAAAAGCAGCAGCCTTTCCCTTATCAGAGGGGCCGAGCCGTACGTCTGACCACAGATTTCTACCACACAGCTTGGACATGTGTTTTTGTCAGGCTAAGCAGATGTGTGTTAATATGAATTTCTGCTTCTAGATTCATACAGTCTTGAATGCATAGAGATCTATAAGCGTCACTTTAAAATTGTCCCTCTAACAACCTGACAAACGTTAAAATACAACTGTTACACAACAGAAAGAGTGGAGGTGGTATTTCAAGTTTTCTTTTGGCAGAAGGTAGCGAAGTCAGATTTTTTTTTGTAGAGCAGAGGAGGGTCTGTAAGTTTTTTTCTCTCGGCCTGATTTCATGATGCTGATTTTGGGACGTCCTTAATAATTACATAAATAGCTGCATCAAAAAGATAAAAAGCTCAGCCCCTCAGTCACTGCTCTAATAATTTCCATACAGTTTGATTAAGAAACTAAAGTCCTCTCATGAAAGAGCGTGTCTCAAATAGAAGGCATCTTTAATGAGTGTGACTGTTCTGCTTCGGATGTCTTCGACAACTAAATTCATCATGAGACAGGAGGCATCAGGAGACTCTGCAGTTCAGAAATCTGGTTTTGCTTCTCGGGTTCTTTCATTTGAAGGATGAAAAAGAGAATTTCACAAGAAAAAAGCAAAAATATGGGAAATTAACATAAATTTGTGTCAGAGAACTATTTTCTTTCTTTCTTTTAATCCCTCACATGCAGGTTCTGAAAACTGCTTTTGAGCCGCTCTGGAGCTTTCAATCATATTTTCATCTGCACATAGTTTTTCATTTGCATTTGTTCAAATTGAATGTGATGCTATATAAGGCTCCAGAACAACCACTAAATGGCTCGTGTGGTTGTTGAGTTTGATCAGTTCACACAACACTGTGTCCACCCTGCCATGTGTAAACAAGTACGGTTAGAGAGTCCAATTCCTGCTTCCATCTGCCCACGAGTGCATCTAAAATAACTGTGTTTGGGTTGTCTCCACCTTTACACTGATAGGCTATTTCTCTCTCTCTCACACACACACGAGATGATAGGCCGCCCACTCAGGCTCAACAGGTCTACCTGCCTGCACACCTCTGTGATTGAACTCAGTGTCCTCTTGTGTTGGCTCCCGTCCACTATCCCTCCTTCTCCTCCTCCCTATCGTGTCCTGACGGGAAATGTTGCCACCACAGCAGCAGCACTGGCGCTACCTGTCGCCACGACAACCTGTCGGCAGCCGTGTCCATTCTCTCATTATTTAAAGAGCACTACTGATAAAGCGCCCTACATTTTCCTCGTCCTTACAGGAACAAGGATGTGGGTCAGATTTAACATCACATGATTTCTCATATCAATCAAAAGCTGCTTCGGGTCATGCACTGAACTCCAGATGATTTCCGGACATTCTGCGGAGGGGCTGTATATGAGAATGTACCAGCGAGAAGTTCAGCACTTTCTCTGGAGTTTCTCCTGAGAGCCCCCAGAGTAAGAACTAAGGAAAATGTCAGAACGGGTGGGAAAAGAGCTGGAGATCCTCCGAGGGATTATTCACAAGCGACTGATGACGTTTATATCATGCAACAGATGCCAAACACAAAACAAAAAGAAAACAAATATCTCAGGATGAATAAGTGGTGCCACACATGTAGAAGACACCGACAAAGAGAGCTATAGGTGATAAGGGCCAACGCTGGTGTTGATGTGCTGTAAACACAGGATATCCGCAGCAGAATGTTATGTCCTGCCTCAGCCTGGTGCTCCACCCCTCACCTTCAGGGATTTCTGTGTTGTTGTGAACACAGCTCAGTGGAGATTCTGTGTTGGTCACCTGTGAACTGCAAACTACAGAGAAAGCCCAGAACCAACTTTCTGCAGCGCTCATGTCTGAAAATACTGAGTGGAAAGCAACCACTTTGCATTGCCTAGGGTCACATCACAAGAGTTATTTCATCCATTGATTAAAAAGGTCATCACGAGGGAAATTCTTTGCTTTTGCAAAGTGCATCATGGGAATAAAAGGGGTATGCTGCAGAAACAAAATCAGAGGTTGGGATGAAACCCTCACGGGACTCACTCCCCTTTCAAGATGAAGGTGACCAAAGCAGGAACATGAGCTGTAAGGAAGAAGAGGAAGAGCAGCTGCAGTGTCAGTTTCAGTAACCTTTGAGATGAGGGTGTGACAGCTTCTTCTGCCCTCACACAGGTGCCACCAGGCTTTTTATTGTCTGCGGTAACCTTATTTATACGCAGCAAGGGAAGTGGGAGCCTTTGCAGGTGCAAGAGACCGATCTGTTTGTGTGTCCTCGTGTCTATTAATTCCTGCAGTGCCCCAGTCCGAGTGTAATCACACCCGCCTGGGGTTTGAATTACTTGGCCATCTGGGTGACAGTGATGATACAAGATCCTGTACGTGTTAACAATGACGGGAGAGGAGAGAGACTCAGATTTATCAGCTTGTTTAATTAAAGTGAGTGTCGACTGAGAGAGTAGTATCAAATAAGACAGAGGAGGAGGTCTGACGGTGTCACCCAGCAAACACAGAGTTGGTCAAATTACCAGTAAGACTAGTGATTAACTCCGCGGGGCGGCCTGCCAACCTCGGTGCAAATGATCTTATCAATGGGAGTGGTGGATGTGACTAAAGTGGCTAAAAAAAGCTTCACGGAGAACAATCAGGCTGTTTTCTTTCTCCACATTTAAGTGCGACATCTGCGCTGTGGTCGCGGCCTCCACGAGCGAGTGGGTAAAAGACGGTGAGCGTGTGGCATTAAACGCAGATGTTCACACTAAATTGCAGCCCCCCTCTTTCCGCTCGTCCTCTCCCTCCCCTCGTAGATCAGCAGCCGTTGTTTTTCTGTCTCACTCTCAAGCGACATCTCCAACTCAGCAGCCAGTCACAGGAACAAAAGAAACCACAAGTTTGTTTGTTGTTTGACTCCTTTTTTTTTCCTTTTAGTCTGATTTTTCTTTTCTCTCAAGCAACAGAAGTAAAACTGTCTACATCAATGGCAAAAAATCTCACAATATGCCCATTCAGTACCATCCCTCAGGGGAACACCAGGAAGGGATACAAAATCTTTTTAGGACAGCAGCACCACTTTTCCCGCACCGTTTATGAATATCTCTACACAATGCAATGAATGAAGTCATGCAGCCACTGTTAAACCCCCTGTTCATCTGAGCTTTATTCATGATATGTAGCTGTGACCATCGAGCCAACGGAGCCAACGGAGCCACGGGGCCAACACTTTCCAGACTGTGCAGTTACGACAGTAAAAACGTGGGTTATTGAGAAGTTCATGAGATTCTCAGAGCTGGAAGGAGGCTCTAAACAGCAGGAAAGCAACATCTGCACCTGAACGCACCACCTACTTGTGCGTTTTGTTCACTATAAGTACCTTCAAGAGTGTCTGTTTTGGCAGAAAACTGCAGTTTCAATATGAGAACATTTCCAAAATACATTTAAACTTATCATCACGTGTTTGTTTGCGAATGTGCGAACTTTTCATCTGGGTTTTTTTTCACTTCTGCATTACCAACCACTATTATGGGGTAAGTCCCACCACAGATTCCAATCTGCACGTAATTAAGCTGCATTGTTTTGCTCCGGGACGCCGACAGTTATGTGACCAGAGTGAGAAAGTTCATGAACTTCCCAAAGCAGATAAACACACAGTACAAACTTAATAGCTACGTAGATGTATTTAGACATTTAGACATTTTGTTGTCGTTTTTTCTCGGTGGCCTTGTCTTTCTCTTCATGCATTTCTTTTTTTTTTTTTGACGCTCTGGTAAAAGTCATAAGAAAATCCAAGGTTAAAGCATATGCAAGTATTCACAATGACCTTTATCTCCAGGAGTCACATAAGCAGACTGCGAGGGGAGATATGTCACAGTTCCCCCCCCCCCCCCCCCCGTACTGCAAAAGAAAAACATTGGGGGGAAACACAAAAAGGTTACATCGTTAAAACAAAACAAAGCAATACGTCCAGACTTGATAGCTGAAGGTTGCTTCTTGAGGTGCCGTTGGAGAGGAGGACAGCTTAGTCTTTTGTTGTTGCGATTTGGCACTGGTGGCCCCGCAACGATTACCGACAAAATGAAACAGTCCAAACCTCCACCGATCGGGGCCATGGCTGCCGGTCGAGTAATCTGATAGATCACTGTCACATTTGAACAAACACCAACAAGACCTTTTTTTTTTTTTTTAGAACTGTACAGTCAAAAGACACAAAAATAGACACAAAAATAGACTTGATATAATCTGATAGGACAGCCCTATTAGTGCTAGCTGCTAAGGCGGGGCAGAGAGACAGGCAGGCAAACAGGACAGACAGGCACTTAAGTGCTGATGCATAGCGGAGATTAAAGTTAGACCTGTAAGCAAAAGACAGAGGAGGCGGGAGGACATAGAAAGTCTTAAATTAAAGGTTCAGTGTGTAGAATCTAGTGACATCTAGTGGTGGAGTTGCATGTTGCAGCTGAATTCCCCTCACCTCCCCCTTCCCTTCCTGATGTAAATATAAAGTACTTGAATATAAAGGGGCAACAATTCTTACAATTTAGGTGAAACACACGAGCATCCTTTCATATTCAACATCTGCCAATAGATCCCTTTAACCAAAATCTTACAAACTGAACCTTTAAAAGATTTAGGGTCTTGGTACTTTAAATTCAACCTGATAAAAAACATTTTAAAAGTGTAAAAACGTTCTTCTTAAATGTTTGGTACCTTAACGTATAAAATAAGTGAGGACAACAAATTAGGAGTTTCTATAAACGGACTTTGTAGAAATAACAACTGAGCCCCTTTCTGGTGCTAAAAGCAGTGTGCTGACCGCTACAAAGCTAGCATTAGCATGGCTATAGATAGGGTCTCTATCCTCACTGTACGTACCTTATGTTATTTAGCATCCTGAGACAAAGGGGATTAAGTGACACACACGTGTATGGAGCTAATAGCACTAATGGGATTGCTTGGCTCTATAGCAGGGGTCTCACCCTGAGCTGTGGTCAGCAGGTTGGTGAATTTATGTCCTGGCATGGTGGTAATATCTTAATCTGATCTGGCTGCCTTCAGCTAGCGAGCAAGATTCTGTATACGCTGACAGAAGTGCCCTTCTGTTTCAAGCCTGTGTGTTTAATACTTTCGGTGTATGGCTCTGGTTCGAAAAGTTAAACGTGAAAGAAAAGGGAGACAGACAGAATAAAAGTGACACAAGTAAGCTAACAGTTGCTATGCTAATATTTCTCACAGTAGACAGGTAGGCCTGTAGATTGCTAGTACCATTGTATCATTTATGTTAGCGCAAATGCCGCGTTCACGTCACAACAGATTCATCGTTTATTTCGTTGTCATTAGCATCAGCTTAAAAGTCGTGAATAGAAGGGGTCACGTTTTCATCCGGGTTTGTGACCACAACTACACAAAAAGAACTCAACTGATTTCCATGAAATTTTGCAGAGGGGAGAGGCGGGACCCAACTAAGAACCTATTTAATTTTAACTTTCTTTAACATATAGGCTGAATGTGAGGTAAGCGCTCTCTGAGCATCCGTTTAGTCATGAACGGGGAAACTTGAATATTTATAACTTGGCTCCAAATTAAACAGAAGTACCAATGATCCATAAAAATAGATGCTTCACATCAGTCAGTCTTTCATTCAAGGTAACCCAAATTTAACAGATAGTGTTATATTGACAACGTACCATCGATCCCATATGACATTAACACGGCATTGAGTGCGACCCATTTTTTCTCAATATCTTCCTCTGCATTTTTTTGAAATTACATCAAATTAAGCAGAAAGAAAGAACCCAAAGTTGAACTTAGTCAAGGCTAAGTTGAAGTTCTTTGCAAAACAGCTACAGTCTGAAAATGAGGCACTTTTTTAGCAGTTACTGTAAATAGTTCTTATATATTTTCTTTCTCATACAAATAATAATCAGCCACCTTTGTACTCTCTATGATTGGAGGGGTTTTTTCCACTTGGAGGAAATCTAAAAAAAAAAAATCGAAACAAAATAAAAAAATACCATTCTCCATTTTTGTACCCTTCTCTGATTGGCTTTCACTCAAGGAATGAGAGCAGCAAGTATCTTTTCATGTCATTTGGCACACATCTCCGCTGGTTTCCGTAACCAACGAGATGAAAGCGAAGGAAAAAAAACAGTCTGTCAAAGTGCTTCAGCGGGGGCGTGTCCGATCCAGTCGCTCTTTCAATGCAACTAGTTCACGGAAAGGAAAAGGCGGGGCTTCGAAGTGAGTGGTACCAGATTGTTTCCCCTCCAAGGACGACGCACCAACATCAGCACTCTGGAGGAGAGAAAAACACAGAGAGAAAAGGAAAATGGTTTGGTTAGATGCAGAATAAACAATAACTGTGATATGAAGAAGAAATATTATGACATGTATATACAGCGCGTCTTGCTTATCAGGGTAATTATAATATCTATTATAAGATACGTGTCTGCTTATCGGCCCGGGAACACAGTGACCTTATGGTGAACAACAGGAAAATACAATACGGCCAAACAGCCGTGAAAAAGACTCAGACATGAAAGTGATATAGAGAACAGCAGGAAAGGAGAAAGTGAGGACACCTATTGCTGCAGGCACAGAGTCAAGCAGAGTGTGTGTGCATGTGTGTGTGTAGGTGCCAGCACAAGGGAAAATGGAGATCCAGAAAAGATGTCAGGTCCTCAGCGCTTCACGTCACATCGAACATATGAGCACACAGGCATGCATCGTCAGGACAATGTCATGTCTCACCAACACACAGAATGACTGTTCCCTGGCCTCGTTTGCACAGTTGATATGATTAACAGGAATGCAGACTTGATAAATCCGCTTCAGAACAGATACAGCTAAAGAATCACACATCGGACATCTGTTTGTTTATATGTTGAACCTGAACCAGACACTGTGCAGTTGGAAAAATACGCTTAGTGATTCAAATCAACATTATTTGCAGCATACTGATATATCAGGAGCCTCACAATGTCTCGACAATGTTTTCTAACTTGTTTGACAATTTCTATGACATGTTCCATAACATCCTCCTATCTGTGCACAACAGTAAAAGGAGAGGGTTTATCCCTTATCTGTCTCTCAACAAAAGCATAAACAGTCAGTCTGATCATGGGCATTTGAGTATTGTATTTTGAGTATCATATTTGAGTATGATAGCCTGCGTCAGAATTCTGAAATTCAACTCACCACATATTTATTTTCTCCTATTTCTTTGCAGAGCTGTGCACAGCACATTATTTCGCACTGACTTGTCCAGCTCAGCCTCTTTCTTTCTTTCTGAGGATCCCCATTAGCACCAGCATAAGCATAGCTATTCTTCCTGGGGTCCACCACACACACAGTCAAACACATTATACAAGCACCACAAACAAACACAACCACATAAACAAACACAAACAGCTCAAGTTGATACAGAAGAGAAACAAAAGTCATCCTTTTAACAGATTTTGGGCAAAACACAAGATTTTAGATTATTTATAATTCTTCTAAAAATTCAAAACCTGTTTTCCCTTTTCCTTCACACAGCTAAGTAATAATTCTTAACAAAAAGTTCTGTTTTCACCCATCCTGCACAATTCCCACATGAAATTAAATTCCAAGGAAACAAGGGTATTTTATTTCTACTTTGACCATAATCTATATATTATCTTCAGTTTACACAAAGACACCAGTCAATTACTGTTCAAGAGTTATTTGGAGATGCTGTTTTAATAAAAAATTGAGCTGCTTGTAAATACTCAAACTTATTGACAACTAATGGACCCATCTGTCATCGTCGGTCTGGTCGTCACGGAGCAGCAGAGGTAACCCTGCTACAAAAGTAAAAAGATCCAAAAGATTTTTACAATCCCTGTCAGTGGTAGTTCTGGGAAATAGCTCACAGTTGTTATTTGTGTGACGCTACCTGAAAGAATGTTGTATATACGCCAAACTGTCACAACATGGAGACCAGTCACCAGTTTTAATGTTGTGGTAGATGACTCTTTAAACAAACAGTCTTATGCTTCTGTTCATAATAACGTCTTGTTTAATAGGATTGCTCCATGCAGCATTGAAGCTTTATCACATTTCTAGAGGTCATGTATGTCACAACGCTTTTATTAACGAGTCAATGGAAAATGCTAAACAGTGGGTTGTAGGCTTTGCAATGAAAGCAGGATCATGACCACTATAAAGATTAGTCAGTGCTCTTTAAACTGGGTTGCTTTCTGTCAAATGTGATGACTCACACTAAAGACTCGCTGGCAGCCGTCGGCCCGAAAAACAAATCCACAAAGCCAGTAAAAGAGAGCAGGCTCAGAGAGAGTTCCCCGCGTCGCTTTACCCAAAATTTCCCAGCAGCGCTCAACTCTCTAATTGCACAAGACGACTCTACATTTACATCCCTCCCTCTCTCTCTCTAGTTTGTGTTCTTCCTGGTGCAGTGAGCTATATTTAGTGCCCCCCACCCCTCCCCAGCACAGACGGTGCCCGCCAGCCGGCCAAAGCCACGGTGGCCTAAAGCTGAGCAGAACGGAGCGGAGTGAAGCGCAGCGGCTCCCTCATTCAGGCAGCCAGCTCGAAAACAGCAACACAAACAATCAAACCAGCCAACCAGGGGGACCAGAGGAGACAGGCAGGACACGCACTGGTGCACTGCCATGAACACACACATGCAAGCTCTCATGAAACCGGGACACAGTAAGCGGCAGCGGAGGACGATGCTATAATTACGCGGTCGACATTCACTTAATGATGACCTTTCCCTAAACACAGACGTGGAAAATTATACGCTGAAACATGCTTAACAACTGCCTCATCCTAATGTACACTCACATGCACTCTCTTACACGCAACTACGAAGGAAATGTTCCCTCTTCTGGCCGCACTCATCAGTTACTGCCTTCTTATTTTCCCCAAGTTGCCCCATCCATCGCTTTGTACCCACCCATGGCGGTTTGTCTATTGATCTCATTCATTTCCTTTGCATCGTTTCTCCATCTTTGGGCAAATCGATTTAATAATGACCGTGGTAACGATTGCGTGTGAGCGTATGTGTTCCTCCTTCCTCTCCCAGACTGTTTAAATCAAGAGGTTAGACAAGGCTATCTGCCTCCGCACTCCGTGTCTAGCCAATAAATGTTCTCTAGCCGCCTGGGTATGTGTGTGTGTGTGTGTGTGTGTGTGTGTGTGTGTGTGTGTGTGTGTGTGTAATTAAGAGTCTGGGTCTATGTGATGTCTCAATCGAGGACTGCCTAAAGTTGAAAGCCATCCTTTTCTCTGGTTGTAAATCCAGTGTGTCAGTCTATCATTTTCGTGCCACCCCAGCTCCCGCAACACACAGAGCTGGTCTATGCAACACGATGTGAGTCAGTGAGGTCACTGGTCATTCGGTCGGTTTGGATTAAATCATGTTTTATTTTAAAAGGAGAGTGCTCGGGATCAGATTTACTTCAGAGCTGTTTGAGTTCATCTTCTTGCTACAATAAGTGAAAACTGCAGCTGAGGAAAAGGCAGAGAGAATGCTACGAGATGCCAACATGGGGACAAAAAGCATGAGCCTGTAGTAGGTTCTGTGAACTTTAGTGGAAATCCCCAATGAGTTTATCACACCATGTCATCTTTTTACAGACATCTCATCGGCCCTGGGGCAGAGAAAACGTAATCCTGTGGTTTTGAAAGATTTATCATCACGTGCAGAACTTGTACCCGGCTTTGAGAAAAGTCTTTGTCAAAGAAAACAAATCCTTTCCAACTCCAAGAGTAGCCAACCCTGACCTTTGACCCACACACTGAGGAAAGCAAAGAACTTTCTCCTGGAAAACATTAGGGAATTGTATTAATACAAGGATGTGAAAAATCCCCCTGCATTCCCACTCAAAGTGTTTTTCCACAATGGCAGCGATTTTTCGTGCCAGCTGCTTGAGCTTTTTCGCAATCTTCCAGCACTGTTATTATACTTGATTCCATTAAATCATCAATCATGCAAGGAGGGCATGCGGGCAAGAGGTGCAATGCCGCAACATGAGCTGGGATCCAGCGTCAGGACAGCTGCAAATACGAGGAATGAGCTCTGGCAGATCGGAGCAGCGGGATAGCTCCTGTGTCACCTCGTTTAATTTCTTCCAATGACGCCAGAAAGTCTGTCGGTTATGAAGATATAAAGTTCGCAGGCTGACCGCAGTGTATGAATCCAATTTCACAGTTCTGATATGTTAGTTGTGAGTCCAGCCCATATGCACATGATATTTTGTGTATTGCACGTTTGCCTCCTGTGGGTTTCAAAGGTGATGTTAAAGACTATGAAAATGTCTTCTTCGGGGGGGGGGGGGCTGTAGTCAGCTCGGTTTCACGACCATTACAATGAATTCATATCTTGACCCAGTTTCACTGTGAAGCAAAACTTCTGAACAGTCCCCTGCAGCACAATCCACTTCTTTGTTTCCAAACAGAAATATTTCAGTGTTAAATTTACACTATTTCCACTTTAATTCTCAAGCACATGGTTTCAGTTGTGCTGTGCTCCTCCACTGGTCAGCAACGTCAAGTCAAGCTCAGTTCTGGGCCAAATGGAGAAAGGGCCGGAGTACGACTGAAACAAGCTGGTTCTGCATATTGTGTAAACACGTCTAAAGGGCTTAAGTGTTTGTAGTTGCTCCAAAAAGCCTCATTTTAAGGGTCAGGATGCAATAATTGTTTTAAATAGGGATAATGGGGCACAATTATCCACATAACAGTTTTTCCTAAAATGCATCCACAGTGTTTCACTGGGTTCTGCGTAAACAACGGTGATATAACAGGTAAGGAAACAGCTGCAGGAAAATAAAATGTGGGAAAGTATAAAGAAAACGTTACTTATGAACGACCCAATATAGAACTCAGCTGAGAGAGATGAAGTGATTACAGATCTGGGGTCAGTGGTTCAGACCTGTTTCACTGTGATAATGTGAATAATTTCTGTTTACAGAGTGCATTAAGTTCGACCTTGGTGAAGAGTTCAATTCACACAGGGCTTTCTCACATTGAGCTGTGTGGTTTGAATGGTCTGGAGCAGAGTTCACTAATAGGCAATCAGAGTCCAGATAGGAGGGGGTGTCTAGACGGGGACCGAGAACTAATAAATCATTGAATTATTAAAAAATGTAACAAAGTTTGTATTTTAACCGGTGCAACATTTATATCCTGGTTTAGCAGCCCAAGAAACTCACCGACCAAATGAATGAGCTGCAAATCATTTGCATGTGATGCCACTCTGCCAATCCAATCTGTGATTTGAGAAGTGTTGAGTGAAAATGAATTAATTC